ATCTTCTTCTTGGATGTCTTCACACGGAGCTTGACTCGGGAGAATGAATTTGAAGACACCACTGCAGCTGTACTTATGGTTGATAAGTATGGTGGTAAAGACACACCAAGAAGAGAAGAAGATTGCCTGATGAGTCCAGCGGGGACGAAACGTACGTCGCAATCGAGCTATGTCGTTGCTGTGTCATCTGCTATGTGCCATGCACTACTTGATGTACCAGCCTGCTATGCCGGATACCGCCAACCATGCATCGACCAGGCGCCAGGCGCGAACTGATGGTGGTGGTGGTGAGAAGGAGAGCTCTGTGCCAGAACTTTGCAGCCTAGAGAGCGTGTGTGGGCAGGCGTGTGTTTACCGCCATATTGCCAGGTGTGTCTTTACCACCATACTTATCAAGAATGTTTTTTGTATTTTTTTGTCCTTGATATCTTTTCCAGGATCACTTTCAGAACCAGGGAGTGGTCTACGAAGTACAACACGTGTACCGTTATGGGTACGAGCTCGTACTCCCTGGTGAAAACTGCGAGAGGCCTCACCTAGCTACCTTTTGTTTTTACTCCTCTTGTACAGGTACGCACAAAACCAAAAACAGTTATTATGATTATATAGCTAGCATGCCGCGCGCAGTAACTATGGGTGCGTTCTTAAATTCTCTAGCTTCTAGGAGAAGAAGAAAAGAGAAGTCGAAGAAACTGGGATTCTTCAAGAACGGGTCTCGAAGAATTCGGAGATATTTTGCAGATGTCAAGCAAAATGAAGCGCCAAAGGGGCCGCGATCTTGAGTGCCACGAATATAGTATGCGCTGTGCGTATGCGAAAAGGGAAATCCGTACACTCATGATCAACACGTGGCTTTTAGCCTAGTTTCTTGCGCTGATCCCAAAGCGCGGGAATCTCCAAGTTTCAACCACCTCTGAAGCTTGGAGAGCTTGGAGAGCTTTGGAGAGCCTCCTAAAATTCGGAGAGGATAAGAACAGCTCTCGAACTTTTCGGAGAGTCTCCAACTTTTCCGAGAGGATTTAAGAACGCACCCTATAATACACTAATAAAACAAGTGAAACTCAGCCCAAGCAACTAACTTTCAAAATGTTAGTCAGCTGCCTCAGGCCGCAGGCGTGCCTTCGCAACGACAACGGCAACTGGATCTCGCTGGAGGTAACGGACTTCGAGGATCTGGCACCACGCAAACACATGATGCTGGACCGTACCAGCGCAAAGCACAGCCGAGTGCGAATCTACGCCATGGTAGCAGAATACTGGTCATTTCTCTTTTCAGAGATAAGAGCAGCCAAACGCTTGAACAAAACTGTTGCAGCTTTCCCAGCACCACCACTGGCCGACATGCCGACTGGCACGAAGGAGACCCTCTCGACTTCCCGAATCCTCTCTTCATAATTATCTTCTTCTCTTCTCGCGTTCATGGCGGGCATCCACAGCGGGGGCTGAGGCAGCACGATTCGAAGCAGCATAGGGGTTGAAAACCGGTATATCAAACATTGTGCGTTCGAACCGGCCACCCCAAAGCCCACTGGCAGCGATGTCTAGGCGAGCATTGTCCTCTAAGGACGCAGACCGGAGGCTGAACTGCTCACCAGAGAGCGGTTGCAGTAGAGGTTCCACCAAGAGTACATAAACCACTCTTGGTTCCACCAAGAGTACATAACCCCCCGTACTCTTGGTTCCACGGATACCGAGTGAGCCATCTGGCGAATGAGATCGGCGGTGACGTCACGGATTTCATTGTGTCTTAAAGACGGAAATCCACAGGTCGGGCAGGATAATGCGTGGGAGCAAGAGTACATACCCCCCCCCCCCCTCGGGTTATGTACTCTTGGTGGGAGACGTCGAAGCCGTATGATTTACTGCACGAGTACAAACGAGTACAAGGGCAATACCGGCTGATACATGACCGAACGGCGCCAGTCGTGAGGTCATGTATCAAGCCGGTATTGCCCGTGTACGAGTGCGTACGAGGCGCAGTAAATCATTTATTGCATGCTTGACCCAAACATTCCAGAAAATGGAGAGAAACCTTTCCGACTTACTCAGTCTCCCGACACACTTGTTCAGTGGTAAACATCGTTTGTGGTTTTGAAATTCTCTATTTCTTTACGATATCGATGGTGTTGTTGTTCGTGATTGAGCACTGCGTGTAGGAAGTCCTGGAACAGGAACTGAAACTGGGATGGGCTCCACAACTTCGTCTCGAACGCATTCAGTTCGTCAAGTTCGTCGGCTGCTCACCAACGCATCGATGTCAAGGTTGCATTCACCTGCTGAGGCGGCTGGTTCATGTGGCTGGAACAAGTAAGTTATTGTCAGCTCAGTTACATGCGCGCGCGTGTGGTCTGTCATCATGGTCATTCTCGTGCTTTGTAGTTTGTAGTCAGATCAAGTTAGTTGCTGTTTTGTGTTTCAAATTTGAAACTCCGAACTGTAGCAACTTGATCTGATCACGAACCACAAAGTACAAGAATGACAGTCCGCATGCGCGTACATGTAATAGGATATTACCCAAGTACGAGGGTGTTACCTCCCGAATATCATCCCGACTGCGTAGCAGGAGGGATGATATGAGGGTACGGTAACACCCGAGTACGCGGGTCAATATCCTACTTATCCCAGGTACATCTACGCATTTTGGGGATCGACGCAACTGCGTTCTGAATACAATTACCAAGGTACAGCTATACCAAAAACAAGATGCTGCCTTTCTTTTCAATCCAGTCAAGGTTTGAGAGCGATGGAGCTCGGGAGACAAGTTGCATTTTAGTACCGGTAGTTGGATTAGAGAATAATTATTATTGACGAAGATTGCACTGTTATGATACATAGTCATTTGGTTCAAAGTAAGGGCCATTCTTCAAAGTCACGGCGAGATACCACGTCATTATGTATGGAGGCTGGTGCTGACTTCCTTGTCATTGGATCGGCGTGGAACTTTCGACGGTTTGGGATCTTTGCTGAACACTGTCCGTGCAGGCAGTAACCACATTGTACATATCGCCGGACATTGGCACCAGTGAGTAAAGTGCATTTCGTTGTATCAAGACTCTTCGTTGTATCACTATCGGCCACTATGCAATCAGAAGAACGTTGATCTTGTTATAATTATTATAGGCAAACTGGATGTGTAGCAGCATCTACGTTTTAGATTGTTCTTGTGGTAATCGTACTGGATACAGTGTCATGATAATCACTGCAGGTCACATCTTGCATCCATAACTTATCTACATCACACATGGATTGCTGAGCTCTTCTTCTTTCACACTGTTGAATATTCTGTACACGATTTTTCCTCTCACTTTCACGTCTTGTACTTCAAGTACTTTTCGAGTTGTTACGGTATCTCTCCTTGCAATTAGTAATTATTTTCACTCGGATGTTGATACTTTGTGTAGTTTTCGAGTTTACAAAGAGTGAATGAGAACAGATGCACTTCGAAGTCTCCTTTGTGTCGTAGTGTTGAGTTGAATAATGATTGGAGTTCGTTGTTTGTTTGTGTGGAATCTGGTTTTGGACGTAGTCGCGGAGGTAAGTTCTCTCCGTTCACTTTTACTGTACCGACGGTGCACTCTGCATTGGCATGCTCCCACCCTCTCACGGTTCTGTGTAGTGTATTTTGTCGCTGGGTTTCTGATTGAAAGGACTCCAGTGGCAAGATGCATTGCATCGAATCGAGGGGGGGTGGGGGCATGCCAATGCAGGGTGCACCGTAGTAGGTACGGTAAAAGTGAACCCAGGTAATAATGAATATCATCCCGCGCGGGATTGTATTGGCTATTATTTCCCGGTCAGCAAGGCTCCTGATTGGCTGAAACAGGCCTATAGTACCGTACCATGGGATAATACATATTAGCATTTTGATTGCTCCTTCTAGCCCTATGTTTCAGGCTCTACTGAGCCTACCTGGTAGACCCCCACCGCTTTCGCCAGCAAGGCCAAAGGGGCGGGGGGGGGGGGGGGATAGGCGCGGCAGTAGCTAGTACTAGTAGTAGGGCCTGTAGCGTAGGGCCTAGCAGGAACAATCAAGTGCTAAATATGGAGTGCAATTTTATAGTACGCTTTCGAGTATGTGCGTACGGTGTACGCAGCAGGGGTGATATAGAGCAGCAGGGGTGATATGGGCTAGGCGAGGTGATATCGGCCTATATCACCCGCCTACGAAGGCCTCTGATTGGTTCAATCCATAGAAACCATCACCTGATATGTGATAATTCCATAAAAAAATTCTGTTATGTACATGTACATGTATCACCATAAAAATAAGCAACGTGAAGAAAGTAAAAAATAGGGCCTTTGATATTATTGCAACATGCATTTTAAAGTTATCACTATAGCCGATAATAATGTAGTGAGTTATGCATGTTTTGATTCTTTGTTGCCATCATGATATCCGATATATCATTACATCCGATAATATTGGTTATAGTGATATTTGTACTGGATAAAATACGTTTTGCTTTTGATATTTCGTACCAATATCACTGTAGTCTGTAGCCGACATATTCTTATATCCGGTCACTCTATAGCCGATACAGACTATTTTTCTTTGCAGCAAGATAATGACAATCGCTTTTGCAGAGCCTCCTGGTAACGACATAGGCAGTTTGTAGGCATTACAGTCGTTCTCGTACGCATTCGACCTTCGTGCCAGTTTTCTACAACTAAATTGACCTGAAAAAGACGAAATACAGTATGGACCCGCTGGGGTACGGGGTGGGCGTTTGCTGCGAAGTTTGCTGCGAAGTGGGCGTTTGGCAGTCCGGTTTGCAGCGGACTTTACAGTATAAATAAAGTATACATGACTTTGTACAACAACAAAAGTCGTATCGCTACATAGCAGCAGCTGGGAGTCGTAAAAACGTTGAACCGGGTTTCAACATTGTACAACTCCCCGCTACACACTAGTACACAGCCACTCATGATTCGACGACTTCCTCGTTGTATTGCAATCAGTCTACAGCTGAAAACTGTTCTTCGTTGCTACAATGTCATGACGATTGTACATCTTGCTAGTAGCAAGGGTAGACATCTTGCTAGCAGTGCGGATCGGAGGCAAAGACAAGTGAAGACACTCGTCTTCAGTGCTTTAACTCCGCAGGTTTCCACGCGTGGTGCTACAAAGTGACGTGACGACCTGAACACGTAACCAAATCGGACAAGGTAAGAGTTGCACATAATTAGTGTCATTGGCTGACAAACGGGTACAAGCGGGTGCTATTCACGATCGGTCATTGCGTGTGTGTCTCCACAACTTGTCATGCTGCTACGTGAGTACCATGCACCATGCAGCTAGGATTCGAGTGTCCGGATAGGGTGACAATCATGACTACTGCCTGTTGCAGTTGGTATAAAAAGCAGCCGACGGTTCTGCCTTGGCCGAGTTGGTTGTTTTCTCACCGATTGTACGCTTCAGTCTTACTCTTGTGTAGCCAATGTATTTTAGTCACTGCTGAAGTTAGTGTTAGAATCGGCCGTTTGTTCGCTTTCCCGCTCGTCCGTGCAGAATGGCTGCCGGAAAGATTACTACTGTCACTGTGTCGCGCTGCACAGTAGCGGCGCTGCTCTTGGTTGCATTGTCACTCGCTTCGACGTCAGGTATGTTGATCTACGTGCGGTGTTCAATGTGGGGTTCACACTACTCGTTCTTCTTCTCCCTCTTCCTCTCCCTCTCTTCCTCTCCCTCTCTTCCTCTCCCTCTCTTCCTCTCTCCCTCTCTTCGTCTCCCTCTGTCATACACTGCACGTCTTATCCGAGTACATTGTATCCGTAGATCTACACGCTTTTGATCTTGTATTATGCACTTGATGGGAGGAATATCCATGCGACGAAAAAAGACCGTACTAATCAGGTGTACGTTTTACCCGGGTAGATCTACGTACTAACTTTTTTTTAAACGTACTAACTTATGGGTAATACCGTATTTTTCGGAGTATAGTGCGCACCTTTGTATAACGCGCACCCCCAATATTCATTGGGGGTGCGCACTTCAATCTTCATTGAAGTACATGCATTTCATATTCGGAGCATAGTGCGCACCTGCGATTTAGGGCCTAAAATAGCACATCTAAAGTGCGCACTATACTCCGGAAAATACGGTACATACAATCATCATCAATCATACATGTACATAGCCGTACACAGAGGCTGTACGCCTTAACCTGCAATATCAAAAGTACATAAGCCAGAGTGTGCAACTGTGCACATCAGATCTGAAACAGCGCAGTTCGTGCACTACGTCACCCTGATGAGGTCAGCCAAGCCGCGACTTGCGTACAGCTCAAATTTTCATGTTTCATAGCCCGGAAATCAGCCAAGTTTGCTTGATTTTCGACGTCCTGTTTCAGGATTTCGGTGTTTTGTGTGACTGTGTACACTGCGTACATCCACCGACAAGTGAAGTCACCAGGCTATCCGTATCAAAAAAACCGAAATCAGGACAAACTCAGTGACCTGCACCACCGCGACTGGTTACGCAACTTTTCACCGTACCTGTGGCTTACCATGCCGTCAGAAATGACGCATTGCACGAATTACGCTCCCACAGGAACCATCCCGAGTTGCACACTCTGGTTTATGTACTCTCGGCAATATCAATAGTGCTCAAATGCCCGGAATTGGCAGAGCGCAGTACGCAAGAGGGACACAAAAGAAATTAATAGGGCTGTTTTTTGTTGTAACTCAGAGTTTCATGTAAAAACCAATCATCATTGTCTGATGATTGGTTTTTGCCATGAAACTCTGAGTTACAACAAAAAAAAACAGCCCTATTTACTTCCTTTTGTGTACCTCTTGTGAACATAGCCGTAAACTGACTGTGTTTGGCCAATAGAGTTCAGGGATGAATTTACTGTTAGTTTTTGCATAGCAGTTTTGCTATACAACATCTCAATTGTGTAGCAATGTTTGATTTTTGATTAGCACAAAAAAGATGTCTGTGTACACGTCCCGTTAGCTCTCACCATACGTATGGTTACTTGCATCATACATGTGCAGGCAAATTGAGAGTATAGTCATGTACCACCTACACTGCGCAGTATGCATGTTACTTGACGGCGCAAGCTATAGGCATGGATACTAGTAGCCTGTATGTATCGCAGTTCTCTGCTAGTCGCGGGGGTGTTTGAGTGGCAGTAGATCGATTTTGCATAGCAAACTGCGATGCGATACCGGATAAATTCATCCCTCGAGTTACCGGTAGTAACGGGCCGTGGATGTTCGGGTTGTGTACCTATCAGGTCAGCTCGTCCGGTTTTGCTCGAATACTCGAATATTCGATCGGAGAAATTCAGAGTACTTGAACTCAGGATCTCAGTGCCAACATTCACCCTAACCTAGTTTTACGCAACGTGACTAGGAAAAAACTGTGCCGGTTTTTTGTAGCTCAAAGTCCAGCCAAAGTAGAAAGGTCAAAGGTCAGGGTCAAAGGTCAGGGTCAAAGTTCATGAGTAAAGGACAATTGAAACATGTTGCATAGCAGCTAGCAAGAACTCGCTGTCGACTTTCAGGCTGTGGCAATTGTCAGTGTGGGTGCGTGCGGGTGAGTGTGTGCGCGGGTGAGTATGTGCGCGGGTGAGTGAGTGCACGGGCGTGCCAACAACTCATAACCACACAGTGTGACGAAATCCCACAGTGCTGTAGAGCGTCTCTCTTTGCCAGTTGTTTAACATGCCGTAACCCCACCCAACAAAATGTGTTTGAAAAGGCATACTGACCAACCACCACAATCTCAATCCCTTGACAAGACATGCAGAATCCCTGGATTTCTCTCAAAATCCCTGGATGGCACAAAAACAAGTGAAAAAGAGCTTTTCCCGCCAAAAAAACGTTCTACAGCTGTGCGTACAGCACAGATCGACCCTAGGCCATAGGCTGTACGAGAGCTCGTAGACGTAGTGCAGTTTGATCAGTCGGCGCCCGCCTGTCACTTTGTCAGTGCAGATCTTGCAGGGAGTAGTACAATACCCGGTATTGTACTACTCCCTGGTTCGAAGTGCGAATGAGCACCGTACATACCTTTGCAAAAATTTCAAAAAAACCGGGACATTCGGGCAGAAATCATGGAGTTTTCTAGAAAATCCTGTATCAGACAAAACTTTGGCTTTTCCGGGAGTTTGCTTGAAATCCCCGGGACCCCGGGAAGAGTGTTGATTTTCCGGGATTTTCCCGGGAAAAACGGGAGGGTTGGCCAGTATGAAAAGGGAGGGGGTGTCTCCAGCCAAGTGGCACAATTGGTTAATGTGTTAGGACGCAGAGTCTTTTCATGCAATTCCAACAGAGAGCTCGGAGAGGGGCGGTCCTGGGTGGGTGCAATTGACCGCGCACGCTTGTGGGCTAATCAGACTATGGCCAAAGTCAAGTCTGAACGTGAATTTCCCGTTGTGATGCAGCGGTGCAATCGTGTTTCGAGTGGCAAGTGCACAATCGCTGATCAAACACGATCAAACACGCCGGAGTCATAGAAACATGCTCATGGCTGACCTTAGTTTGAATAGCCTACTCTGACTGGGGCTGAATAGCCTACTCTGACTGGGGCTGAAAACTCACAGGCACAATTAGGCACCGGCGGATTCTGCTCGAAAAGCAGTGAAATTGGCAGAACCATACAAACCTTATGGCGGGCAATTCCTCGAATTCTGCTCCATTTCTTTATCCACATACCAAACATGCATGAAACTTACCAGAAAAAGTAGCGAATTCTGCCAATATTTCTGCCGGCATAATCCGCTGGTGCCTAGGAACAATACAATCATGTACATCAGTACAACTCACTGACATGTACCCTGGGCAACTGTTATACCTGAAACACTAGTGTGAAAAGCACTATTTTTGGTGAGCCTGCATGTCACTCACTGTCTATTCCAGTCACTGCAACTTGCCTTCAAAGTCCACGTTTAAGGTTGCCCGGGGGAATGTCACACTGAAGTTTTCCTGTGCTACTCCCAAGCGGTGAAATGTCCTTGTGGATCTTTCTGATTTGTTGAGAAAGTGCTATGGAAGCACACTCACCTATTTGTATTAAATCTAAAACACATAATTATTTGCTCTGATAAGAAGAAAAGAGCAAAAGCGGTCGTTATTATTTGCTCTGATAAGAAGAAAAGAGCAAAAGCGGTCGTTAAAGCCAGGTGATCTTTAGAACCAGGTCCCATACATTCGTGGTATATCGGATTATGCATACATGTGCATGATTGTACTTCCATATACTACCTCCGACAAGCGAAACTTGGCGCGTTTTTTTACTTCAAATTCCTCGAAATAACTCACGCTTTACAATCAAATCGAATGATTGACTCACCAAAATACAGCTTTATATAGCTCACCAAGGATGCGCACTCCAACCGTTCTATGGTCACGGTCATGCAATGTTATCGCATGAGCTGATTATAACTGGTGGTGTTAGTGGATAATAGGCTAACTTGTAGTTCCTTGGTCTTCTTTTCTCGTCTTATAAATTAATCCTTGGCTCCCCACCAGAGTCTAACATATTTGCCCTTTCTATTTTCTCTTCTCATGATCAGCTTCACCCCAAAGTGTCACGATCTTGAGGTCGGGCATAGCCTTCTACCCGCCGGCAAACCGGGTGTACATCCTAGATGGAGCGTCGGGCCCCGCTAACGCCCTGGACCGCATGGTTTGCAGAATTTCCTTCAGTCTAGGAGGCGCCACTGGCACCAGTCAGCCATCCCAGTCAGCGAACCTCTGGACTTTCAACGGCGAGCCATTGGCTGGTGGAGAGATGATGAGGCATAAAAACCTTACCGTTACCCACTCTTTACCCCAGGGACTTATGCTGAACTACTACTCAAGCTTGTCCTGGAGCCGCAATGTCACCAAGGCGTCCGGGGGCACCTACAGATGCGGGTGGAACGGCGTGTATCAGGAATTCGAGATCATCGTCAACCGTAAGTACAGACGTGCAATTCTGTGCAGCATCGCGGGAAGCGTGAGCTTGCGAAGTCTGAAGAAAAATGTTGAACAGTCTCAGCTACACCATAGCTCAGAGTTCAGAGCGTTTCTGGCCTCAAGCAATGGTCCCTGGTTCGAGTCCTAATGGTGACAGTCAATTTTTCTTCAGACTTTTTCCCTTTTCCATTCCCCCAAACCAACGAATACTTGGAAATCTCGTAGAAACGAGAGAGCTTGGAAGCTCAGGGCCCTACGCTATGCTTTTTTTGCCTTGATGACCTAGACAAAAAAAAGCATAGGGATGTTATAAATTCTTTTTTTATTATAATAAAGACATAACCTGGGATTCGAACCCGCACTATCGCGCGCCCTGCATGCATCCCCCGATACACTTCGCATACATTTGTTTGTTTGTGTCACGCCTGGCGCTATCCGTATCTACCGGCAAAAAAAGCATAGGATGTTATAAATTTTTCAATTCTCCTATTTTTTTTTCAGGCATATCCTGGGATTCGAACCCGCACTATCGCCCTACATGCATTCCCCCATACACTTCGCATTCATACCCATTCTTCCAAGTTGTTTCACATTGTGATCTTGCATTTGAAAGCCCTATTTGAATATGCAGTGTGGCCAGCCGTCTTTGATGGCACGGTACGGTAGGGGATAGGTACGGGACAGGTACGATCGAGGGTAATACGACACCGTCTCCCGTACCGTACCGTACCATCAAACACAGCTGGCCACATACAGCTGCCCGCAATATTCAAATAGGGCTTTCAAACGCAAGATAATAACGTGAAGCAACTTGGAAGAATGGGTATGAATGCGAAGTGTATGGGGGAATGCATGTAGGGCGATAGTGCGGGTTCGAATCCCAGGATATGCCTTAAAAAAATAGGAGAATTGAAAAAATGATAACATCCTATGCTTTTTTGCCGTCAGATACGGATAGCGCCAGGCGTGACACAAACACACAAACAAATACCAAACGAGAGAGCTTGGAAGCTCAGGGCCCTACGCTATGCTTTGTTGCTTAGCTCATCGTGCATGTTGTGGGAACTGATGGAAATGTTTCCTGGGACGGCGCTGACTCTGCCGATCACGCGCACGGGCGTTCTGGAGTCGACAGGATCTCTCTCCCGTAACAATCGACTCATTCCTTGTTCCGTTTGGACTGTAGCTTGTGCTCGTTTTCATTGCGCTTGCCTTGCCCTCTTTGGTCTTTCCATAACCTTGAGCCTTCCAAGTTGGAAGGCTGTCGGTTAGCGCTACGGAGATGTGTTGAAGCTAGGTGCCAGGACGTCGAATGTCTCAGTACTCTGTCAGTTGTGTGCCTATTTATTGCACTTTCTGACTGTATATAGTATCTGGTTACAGTGATGAAGAGTTACTCTTAACTCGTTTCCATATGTCCTTTTCCTTTCCAAGAGGGCATCTTCAGGAATATGTTTTCATCGCTCTTTTTATTGTTGGTAACATGAAAAAATGTGGGCACAAGTTATGCGATCGAGTCCACCAACTAACCAGATTTTGAACGGTCAGAGTTCCTTGGCTCACGAGTTCTTTTTATTGTTCTTCACATATAATTCCACCAGAGTTCTTTATTAATTTTGCTCATCAACACTTTCTCCGAAATCTGTTTGTGGCAAATTCGATAAAGCCTAGGTGATATGTCGACTCCGCTAGTTCGGTTCATTGGGATTCTTCAACTATAGCTAATAGCTGATTTACTGAAAACTTCTTTCTCCAAGAGGCCTATTTGTGCAATCGCACAACTAACGTTGTTACTGGACAGGGCTGGTCGAGCCAGCTACAAGTGGAGTGCTTGACACACAGATATGCAGAGCAGTAGGCATAAACAACGAAGGAGAAGGGCCATGATGCTGCAAGTGAGCATGTACCTTCAAGATTCACCCACTTCAGCGATTGTCTGTCTGACTGTGACGATCGCTGAAGTGCGTGGAACTTGAAGTTACCGCCTCACAGCCCCTCGCCTCGCGGTTGCACATGTATTTGTAGAGCTGTATGGGTAGGGTGATTGCGACAATCAGTGCATTGGCATACAACTTACCGTGCCAGGGAGGTCCAATGTTGCATGATGATGAGGTCGGACTGTCTGATGTGCATCCGCTTTCTTCTTGTTTTCTTGCTCACCTGCAGCCCTTGAAGTACTACTGGTCCGCCAGCTGGGCAAAGATGAATTTATGCCGTCCCGCGTGGCCGTACTGGATGGAGATTCGCGGTTTATAATCGGTGCAGAAGTCTACTGCCTGATTCGCTGGTCGGTAGGCTTCGAAAAAACAGCACATCTCAACAGCGTCTACTGGAAATACAACGGCCAGCCATTGGTGAACAGTGGGCGAGCAAATATCACCGTACGGACCGTGTTAATCGGGTATAGTAAGGAAGAGAAGTTGTATGTTCCCTATTTTCTGGTCCGGATCACCTGGCCAGAGTACTTCACACCGCAACATACCGGCATTTACACCTGTGGTTATGGGTCTACCGTCAAGTCTTTTCAGCTTGTTGTCAACCGTAAGTACAAGCAAGACTGCATACTGGGAGAGTTGAAAGTGTGACGAGTCTAAAGTTTTTAAAACGATTTGCAAACTAAGTTTCCTCCGCCTGGCGGGCACAAGGTTTAAAACGGCCCTGCCATCGCACATCCGTCTGCCATATCTCTAGTACAGAAGAGAGGGAGGGAATGGCACTCCAGTAACGTTTCTTTGATCTTGAGTTAATTTGACGATGGATTTTTTTCTCGTTAAAACGTTAGATGCTGTGCCCAGTAGAGATTCAAGCCTTACAATGAACAAAAGACTGTACTTCCTCCGCGTCATTAAAATTGTTGCTTCCCAGAGTGATTTTTCGAATCAATTTTGTCCACTCGAAGGGCAAAGAAATCAGCTAGAAATTGAGGCAGAGCATTGTCGACGGACCAAGCTTTAGTTTGTGGCCTCCCGCATCGCTGCTAAGGTCGACGTCTTCATCAGACTTTGAGGCAGACCCTTCAGCACTCAACAATATGCTGAACAAGACGCGCGTTCAAATACAGGTCAAGAAACTTCGTTTTCAAGCGATCCATACCACCAGGTGGCAGGTGATGAAGGCAAGCTAGCATTTTTTCAAGTACACTGTAACGACCTTCCAGCGGGATAGGGTAAGTAGTTCCGTACCTTCTTTCCTTGGCAAGCGCTTCGCTGATTTTGTTGGTGTTTTCAGACCTGCTACCTTCGCAGCAACATGCGCCACAAGTAGCGTATTTTAGGAATTTGAGAACACTTTGTTCTTGCCATCATCAACTTCAGCATTTCGTATTCAGGAGAGATACCAGGATTCTTATACCCGAGCTTGCAGTCTTGATAAATGCCCATGCGAACGATGTGGGACGGCACGAACTCCAGAAAAACGATATGCGCTCTGGGGCGGAATAGTGCGGAGCGCGATGAATTTGCTTGGTGCGGAAGAGAGCTCCGACAAAGTCCGAGACCACCACGGCTTCTGTAACAAGTAGACATTGCACAGGAAGGGTCGCACCAATGTTCAAACACAGAAAACAGCGATTCCGACAGTCTGACTAAGACGATCCAAGTCACAAACATTGCGATGTGCGAAGCGACAATTTTAATGACGCGAAGGAAGTATGATTCCTATCTTGACTTGTAATGGACTCGCCCTTGGCGGAAATCTGTTTACGTATTTTCGAATGGAATCGGGCCAGGCCCACCTTCAAGAGAATGCGAGCCCAGTGCATGTACACAGAACATGGTTATTGTGTGTGAACTGTGAAACAAATGGCATGACACCTAGCACTAGAGAAAAGCGAAGCATAGCGTGGACAATACTGTCACGGCAACAGCAGCAGCAGCAGTAGCAGTAGCAAATAGCGTGGACAATAACAGCAACAGCAGTCACTGAGCAGTAGCCAATACCACCTGAAGCATGTAGTGATGTAATCATATACATATGTATAGTGTGCGCATGCGTGCATGCTTGCAGTAGAGAACTCGCAGAGCTTGAAGACGAAGCCTGCAATGGCTACCTCCAGACTTGCATTGTTGTAGTGTTGCCCATCTACATTGGCGCAGTGAACAGGTCAAGATGACAACGAAGGGCAGAGTGCCCAAGGATTTTGTACCCGATTACGCCGGCGACATCGGGGCCGATTTTGAGCTTTGGCTCGAGGATGTCAATGACTACTTAGCAATTTGTAATGTTTCTACTGCTGCTGACAAAAAGCGTTTATTTTTGAATTTGGCCGGACTCTCAGTTCGCAAAGTTGTGAAGGGTCTGGTTATTCCTTCTCCGCCAGCAAATGATGATGGTTCTCCTGGAGACGAGTACGTAGCACTGACGGACGCCGTTCTGGCGCACTTCCGTCCCACCATCAATACGACGTCAGAACGTCACAAATTCCGGCAGCTCAAACAAGGGCCGGAGGAATCCGTCTCCACCTTCGTTGGCCGTTTACGAGAGAGAGTGGACTTATGTAAGTTCGGGGCGACGGATGTGGACAGCGTGGTTAACTCCCAGGTGCGAGACCAGTTGGTTGCAGGTTTGAAATCCCCCGAAGTTCGTCGCGAGTTGCTCAAGGAGTCCAGACTCACCCTCGCAGATGCCATCACCAAAGCAGTGGCACTGGAGACCTCCTATGCGGAGAGTAAGCTGTATGATCCGCCGGCAGAGCCTGCCAATCAGTTTAGCTCAGTGGCTGCCGTTAGTGCGACCAGACAGCAACGCAGACAGCCACGTACAGTATCTGGTTCTTGCAAGTACTGTGGCCGTACACATGCTAAGGGAAAGTCGTTTTGCCCTGCAGCCAACATCCGCTGTCGCAGTTGTAGCAAGGTCGGACATTTTGCGGCCGTATGTCAGTCGCAACGCTCTGGATTAGATGCTAACGCCGTCGACGAGGAGCCCGCCGACCTAGCTGACCAGGCTCATTTGGTTTATGACACCGTGTACATGGCTGAGCAGACCGGGTCACACCGCCAGTTCCTCGCATCGCTATTGGTGGATGGCAAGGAGTGTGAAGGTTTGCTGGATACCGGTGCAAGCCGTACTATTCTCACCGATGACATTGTCCAGCCTACCCGCAGCAGTAATCGTGTCCTCAAGGCGTACACAGGCGGGGAGATTGCAACTTTAGGCATGGCTGATGTAACCATTGCATCTCCTACGCGTACCATGTCTTGTAGTTGTTTTGTTGTACCCCATGGGAAACATCGTATTCTGTTCGGCCAGGATGTGATCTCTGAACTTGAGCTGTTGGTTCCAGCGCACCTGGTGGACACTGGCAATTTGGTTGACACCGAACCAATTTCCATCTCCGTGGATGCTGAAGCTAGGCCGGTGGCTCAACCAGCACGACGTCCCCCATTCAGCGCCAAGGCCGACATTGAACATGAACTGCATCGTCTTGTCAAGGCAGATATCATCGAGCCAGTTAAGGAAGCGTCTGGATGGGTATCGCCGATCGTCCCAGTCCGTAAGTCAAACGGCACCTTGCGTTTATGTGTTGACTATCGGCAGTTGAACAAGTCTATTGTTAGAGAGCGACGTTCATTGCCAACCATTGATGAGATTACTGCGGAGCTTGCGGGAGCGGAGGTTTTCTCGGTTTTGGACGCAGAGTCTGGTTTTCACCAGCTCTTGCTTGACGACCAATCCCGACCGCTTACCACGTTTACCACACACTGTGGTCTCTATCATTTCAAACGACTGCCATTTGGCATATCCTGTGCTCCCGAGATATTTCAGCGTGTTGTAACTGATCTCCTTTCGGGTTTGCCTGGTGTTGTTGTCTATATAGATGACGTCTTGGTGTATGGTCGCAACCGGGCGGAACACGATGCACGGCTCGCTAGCGTTTTGGAACGACTCAAAGCTGCTAATCTCTGCCTCAACTGGGGCAAGTGTCGCACTCGACTGACATGTGTCAAGTATCTCGGCCATGTCCTGACGAAGCAAGGTGTTCAACCCGACACATGCAAGCTTCAAGCTATCAGTGAACTGTCGGAGCCCACGTGCCTCGCCGACGTTCAGCGTTTTCTCGGGATGGTCACCTGTCTGGGCAAGTTTGTTCCTCAGCTGTCTCAAGTAACTGAGCCACTTCGTTCGATCGTCAAGCAGCCAGAGCCATTTGTAGCTACTGAGAGCCTGATTGCGGCATTCAACGCAGTAAAGCAGGCAGTCGCTTCATCTCTGCAGACATTGGCGTACTTCCGCCCATCTCCAGATGTTCGTACGGCTGTCAGCTGCGATGCTTCGCCTCAAGGTTTGGGCGCTATCCTCTGGCAGCATGACGACAAGGGCCAGTGGGTGCCAGTCACTTGTGCCAGCCGATCATTGACTGATGTGGAGACACGCTATTCGCAGATGGAGCGTGAAATGTTGGGTGTGGTATTCGCTCTAACTCGTTTCCGCCAGTACCTTCTGGGCCGGGATGTGGACGTCTTCACGGATCACAGACCACTGCTCCATATAGTTCAGAAGCCGTTTGATGACGTCCCACCACGTCTCCAGCGTTGGCTAGTCTCTCTGATGCCGTATTCGTACTCCCTCAAGCACATCCCAGGAAAGCAACTGTTGTGCGTTGACGCCTTGTCTCGTGCTCCGCTGAAGACCACTGTCTCGTCTCCAGCTGAGTCCCGGTCATTGAATGAGTACGTCAACATGGTTCTTGAGGCAGCACCAGTCAACCTTGAGGAGATCCGCCGTGCCACTCAAGACGACGCAACGCTCCACAGTGTCCTGCAGCGTGTGCTCACCTCATCCTGGCGCGATGCCTCGCCCGCTGAGCAGCCGTACTATCTCGTCAGAGATCAACTCACTGCAGCTGACGGTGTGTTGCTATTGTCGGCACGTGTTGTGATACCAGAAGGGCTACGCCATTCCGTCATGGCATTAGCGCATGAGGGACACCCGGGCCAGGAAGCCTTTCAAGATTCCCTCCGGCAGAGGGTTTGGTGGCCAGGGCTCACCAAGGACGCTAGTCTGTATGTGGAACGTTGCTCCGAGTGTTGGCGACGTCGCACAAACAGTCCGCAAGATCTTCTCCCCACTGAGATTGAAGGCGTGTGGGAGAAACTGGCAATCGACCTGGTATCTATTGAGGGCCACTCTGTTCTCTCCCTCATTGATTATGGCTCCCGGTACCCTATCCTCAAGGTTCTGTCCTCTACAACCACTACAGCTATCGTGGACGAGCTAGATGAAGTGTTTGCCCTATTCGGTCTACCGTCTGTACTGGTTTCGGATAACGGGCCACAGTTTGTGTCGGAGCAGATGACCACCTTCTTGCAGCGGCTGGGCATTCGTCACATCCGCTCCAGCCCACGTTATCCACGTTCCAATGGCATGATGGAACGACTCCATCGTCTCGTCAAGGAAAGAATGGTGGCACTGAAGCCTCATTTACCTTTCCGTCGACGACTGAACCAGGTTCTGTTCGACGTCCGACATTCCCGACACCGCATGTTGGGAACCTCTCCAAACGAGGCTCTGTTCTCTCGCCCATTGCGTAGCAGAGTTCCTACCATGATCCCTCCTCGCATTGTCAACCCCAGCATCCAGCTGAGAGCCAAGGCCACAATGGCACGTGATCATGACGCTCGTCGTGGAGTGAAGGCCTTGCCACATCTGCAGGCGGGCAAGCGGGTGATCCTCCATGACGGATACAATGATCCAGCCAAGCCGTGGACCGTGGTGGAGCAGTACGGGAGGCAAGTGGGAGTAACCGACGGTGTCCGGATTCTGCTTCGTAACCGCCAACATGTCAGAGAATTGGTCTCACCTGCTGCTGCATCGTCTGATTGGCCTGAGTTTGTTGCCTCCGTACCCAAGTCACCGCTGTCCACGCCTCCTGTTAGTGTTCCGGTTCCGACTAGCCCAGCCGCACCACAATCGGCGACAGGTAGTGAGCCATTGGTGCCAGCGTCAACGGAAGCTGAGGCCCCTCTCACCCGTTCTGCACTTGCGGACGCCTCACCCCCGTGTTCTTCGCCTCGTCCAGTTTCTCCTAGCGATGTCTGCAGGGATCAGACCAGCTCACCAGCCAGTGAGTCTCCCAAGCGATTTCATGATGGCATGAAAACCCGTTCTGGCCGTCAGGTAACCCTTACAGAGAAGGCCAGAGCGGCTTATGGATGACTGCTGCTGCTGCTGCGGGACAGTGTGTCCATGGACACGTAGAGACCATTTTACCGTTTTTTTTTGTGCTGAACTTTTCTTGTTTTGTTTTCTTCCTCGTTCACAGCCGCTTGTCGGTAGTATGTAGCGTGGTTGTGTTTTGTTTTTGTTTTTCTCAGTGATTTGCAGTTTTTAATGACTGGCGCATGGCATGCGCATTCGCATCGGTTTTTTCCTTTTCTTCTTTTTGTTTTTTCTCTTTAATTAATTGGCTTTTCCTTCTTCACTTTGTTCCTTTATTTTGATTTCTTCTTCTTCTTCTTCTTCTTCTTCTTTTTATTTGAAGGGGGAGATGTAGTGATGTAATCATATACATATGTATAGTGTGCGCATGCGTGCATGCTTGCAGTAGAGAACTCGCAGAGCTTGAAGACGAAGCCTGCAATGGCTACCTCCAGACTTGCATTGTTGTAGTGTTGCCCATCTACAAAGCACATGTTGTGTGTGTGTGTGTGTGTGTGTGTGTGTGTGTGTGTGTGTGTGTGTGTGTGTGTGTGTGTGTGTGTGTGTGTGTGTGTGTGTGTGTGTGTGTGTGTGTGTGTGTGTGTGTGTGTGTGTGTGTGTGTGTGTGTGTGTGTGTGTGTGTGTGTGTGTATTAATTAATATAGCTTTGGCAATGCACCCTCGTACATGTAAGTATCGTGTACTGCACTGGGGGTGCCACGTTTGGTTGACAATCATCATCTGATCTTTTGCCAGCCTTATTCCAGGGGTCTTCAAGGAGTGGTGACATCATATTTCCAGGGCCTATGACATCATTACCAGGGGGTCTTCAAGGAGTGGTGACATCACAATACCAGGGCCAATGGTATCATAAGTCCATTGCGCAATGACGTAATTTGTACAGCCAACACCCCACACAGCCACCCGGACATGGTCGTCTGGGCCCTCTGGGGTGTTGAACAGTGCATTGCTGATCCCAGCGTACTCACATGCATTACTCATACCTTCTATATTTGGCAATGCGCAATGGGCTTATTAGTATTCATTACCAGGGGTTCTTAGGGGCCATCCGTAAGGCCATGGTAAAAAATAAAGTTGATTCTCAGGTCATGAGCCTGTGAAAATCGGTGCGAGCGAGCGATTTTTTGTTCTATTTCCCACAATTGTTTTATTTCCAAAGATAGGGTCACACATATATGTATGTTTGTCACAGGTTCATATAATTATTTTATTATTCAGGCCAGGGAGTAGAAAAATACCGGTATTTTACTACTCCCTGATTCATGCCTTTCGCATTGACCGTTTTCATGTGCGCATATGCATGCATAGAAATTAAAAAAATCGCCGGTGCGCCGCCAAAAATCGGTGCGCGCGTACTTGAGAATCAAAGATAATTTTTACCATGGCCTAAATACCGATATTTATTTAGAAACGAAAACTAGTCATTTCTCTTCAACCCCCCCCCCCCTCCCTGAGAAACGAACACATACAAACGGTACATCAATATCGATCTTTTTTTTCCTTTTTTCTGGACATGCCCACACATACAAACTGTACATCGATATTTTTCGAGAAACAAACAGGCGCTCAACCCCCTCCCCCCTAAACGACTAGTTTTCGTTTCTAAATAAATATCTATATTAACGGATGGCCCTTTAAACGTAAAGAGAGGTGACATCACATTACCAGGGCATAATTATGGTTCACTTTCTGCCGACCTGCTGAATATTTCATTTCTGCCGTGTTCTTCACAGCAATCTCAGTGGCACTGGTCGTCGGAAACCATGATCTCCCTGGAACACAGCTAGTGACTAAGAATGGAGCACCCAGATCTAGCATTGGTTCCGAAATCTATTGTCTACTTGGCTGGTCAAAGGACGCCAAGAACATTCCCGATATCTCCTCCGTGTTCTGGACTCTCGACGGCAAGCCGGTGGTATCACTGGGAGCTAACGTTGCGGTGATCTCTGTGCGTCACTTGGTAGAACAATACGACACGATCAGCAAGAAAGTCGTGCCCGAGTACTATGTGATCCGTATGACCTGGTCGCCGATCATCACGGCAGCGCACGCAGGTACTTATCGCTGCGGCTACAAAACTGTGGCAAAGTCATTCCACCTCACCGTCACTTGAAGTGTAAGTTCGGTGCACGTGTGCAGCTGTGATGCCGAGACCCCTTGCCTTGGTCGGCTGAGCCTCACAGGTCCCACCCACTCCGTCCTGCTGGATATGTACCATTGTGTCGAGTTCTCCTCCTCATTTTAGTTCATCATGCAAGGAGTGTTCAATAGTTGAAAAATAAAATAAAAAATAAAAAAGTCACCTGGACGCAACATACAGGTCTACCCTCGTTAGTATGACATCGGGTATAGGACAAATCTCACTAGTAGACAACGATAAAAATAAAAACCCTGACGCCTGAAACACGTACACGTTCATTCACGTCCGGATAGTAGATAATACCCCCCTCCTCCCCGGATAGTAGATAATACCCCCCCCCCCTCCCCGGATTATCTACTAACGAAGGTAGACCTGTACTCTCGTTCTCATATTTTTAAATTATTTTTGAGATTGTCTGCGACAGCGCCAAAGGAATGCTTGTTGCAGACCTGGTTAAAGTTTGAAGCAAAGTTGAGTTTTGCCCGTGTTGTTGGTGTTGTCGTTGGTGTTCCGGCAAGCATCTCAATTGGAGAAGATGGCGATTCACTTTCCTGTCCCCGGCGTCATGTATGTGTACAATGTCATGTTCGATGGTCACAATTTCTGGTTGGCGGCTCAGCCTTGGTCTGCAACTGAGCCTGGACAAAGCGGCATGGTCTCCGGTACACGTTGCGCCAAGCAAGTGGTCTAGTTACTCCTAGGCTATGCAGTGAATTCGCTTGTGCTGAATATATCCATGCCTAAGTTTGACCAGCCTCGAAAATCACAAGACGACCGAGTTTACATGAAAATCGCACTAAGGCTGGGTTAACATGAAAATTGTCAACCCATGCAGGTTGACATTGTGTATTGTTTGAAAAGAAGGTGGGTGTTCAGCATAATTATTTTAAAACTAGGGTTGACCAGACTAGTATACTAAGGTGCAGACTAAAGTCCATTTCCAGCGTCCGGTACGGTTTTTTGACTGATTGGTCGGCAAACAGCACCAACATTGTCAACATCATTGATGATAGGATTGAAATGATGTTCTCATTCTGACTGCATTCCTGCTGCAGCCGACTAAGTGGACCACTGCCACCGGGTAACCAGCCCCTGTCCGCCCCCCGACATCACAGCAGAGGCACATACACATTGACAGCGGCAGCCAGCTGCTGGCTCTGCCAGATCACCATGATGCAGAAGCTGCTGCATTGTCCGCAGTCGACCTGCGTGCAAGCTGCATACCGGCGGGCCAGGCTGAACAGGATTCAACCTTTTTTTCCTTTTTTTTTAACATTTTCAATTTCATCACTTTGCTTGCACTCTTTTTTTATGTTCTGAATCTCAGTGACTTTTCAGATACTTTCCGCATTTCACGCAGCAGTTGTGATCCCTGCACACCATGCGATCCTGCATCGCTGCGAGCAGATCAAGGTGGTACTTGGTACTTGCCAGATGTATTATAGCAATAAAAACTGCTTTATGGCAGTTTTCTAAAAAAAGTTATTGTGTTCTAGTCCATGGACCCCGTCTAAAAAGTAAGAAATTAACGAAATGTGATAGCCGAAAATTAAAATTTCACACAAAACCTCACAATAATCACAACACTTGAAATGCTGCTTTCAACACTAAACCTGTACTGCACCAACAATTGGCAACATGCACGTCATGCATGCATAGGAAAGAGGATCACGAGGGGAAAAGGTCTTCTACATGTAGCTTTTCATTCTGTGTGTGATTATTGTGAGGTTTTGTGTGAAATTTTAATTTTCGGCTATCACATTTCGTTAATTTCTTACTTTTTAGACGGGGTCCATGGACTAGAACACAATAAATTTTTTTAGAAAACTGCCATAAAGCAGTTTTTATTGCTATAATTTCTTTTGTTTTTTCTGTCACCAATCAATGGAATGCCCTATATCAAGAGTGCATAAACAAGGACTCTTGCCTATATCAATATGTAAATTTAAACTAAGGGGGCGTTCGTTTTTGATCTACAGGTTTGGGTAGAAACTACTTCTTTCGGTAGAGGTGTTCGTTTTTTGAAAAAAAATTCTACTCAAAAGGGTAGATTCTACTTTCCTCTACCGGCTCTACCGGGAAAAAGTTGGTAGAATCCGGTAGAAGTTGGTAGAGCTACGGGATTTCCAGCAAGATCAAGGATTTGTACACAACTCCATAAAAAAAAGAAACATTTCACGTACGCATCGTGTAAACTACTAGATCTGGTAGAACAGCGTTCGTACACTTGCCTCTACCATCTACCTCTATCGGTAGAGTGACTCTACTCTACTCTACCAAGTAGCTAAAAACGAACGCAGCCTAAATGATGGCCTTCACATCATAATCAATACCGTATTATACGCATTGATGTGCAAGCCTTTTCTTGCAGAAAATGGCAAAATGCATGTTCTTCTGCGGGGAAACATGTGAGTACGTAGTGGTGGACCGTGGTAATACTTTTTTTATACGGAGGTCATTCTGTGCATGTTGCTGTAGCAGAATTTCATGACTGTCATAAAATTGTTTTGCCTTTCAGATATTTCAGATCTCCCCACCCTCGATCAGATTTATTTGAGAAATGTAACCAGGTACGTGTCGCAGATGTTTTTGTTGATTCTGTGTTTATAATGGTTTATAATCATGGGTTTTCGTGATAAGGTCATCCTGCATCATATTGCACTGAAATCGTAATCCTGTTGATGTCGATACAACTTTTGGAAGTAGTTCAATGACTTCAAACTGTTAGTCCACGATTTTCTAAAACAACACAGCAAACACCAAGGGACCAATGGTATTTATTCTGTGAGTTTGTCTTAACCTATTCCCCCCCCCCCCCCCCCCCCCCCAGTGAATACAATTATTTCTCCAATAGACATACGAATAGATTTCTTCTACAGCGAAAGATGATTCTAAGTCACACCAACTCATTGACTGGTCTCATGTGAAACAAATGAGTAACTAGAGAGGTTCTGCAAAACGAAAATGCGTACAAACTTTCGTCCTACTTCATGAAGTGCGAAATTTCGCACGAACTTTCGCAACTTTGGACGCGAAACTTGCAGGGAACGCGAAATGAACTGTCGTAGGAAAATTCGTGAGATCGGGTCATGGCGTACGTGCACTTGGCCCACGCAAACTACGAAAATGTGCAGAACGCAAAATTCGTGCAAAAATTCGTACACACTTTCGCAAGGACTGTCGCGAAACTTCGTTCGAATTTTCGTTTTGCAGAACCTCTCTACTGAACCTTTCTTTAGAAACATGACGGCAACTGAAGCAGCAACAGAGAAAGTACGATACATGTACAGCACATTCTTGCAGGTACATGTACTACAAACAGATTGCAGATCGTAATTCTTGCTTTGGCGGCACGAAACTTTATTTGGGGCAGTGCAATCTCGGCGGTACTCACAAATAATAAATCAGCCCAGACTCGAGTAAACAAATCCAATCATACAAGTACAAGATCTTCACGAGACGAGACTGCACCCATTGGCTTGTTTCGTATGAAGCAAACAAGTTACTGATCCTCTCCACAATGGAGATTTTCCCTGATATGCGAATATATTTTGCAAACTCGGTCAATGGGTCCTTGAACCTTTCCCTCCAGATTGGGAACTGCCAACGATAGTATGCCACTGACCAGTGCCTTACTTGTAACGTACCAATGTACAGTACAATGAATATGAGTATTTCGACAACACATCTAACATAAGCCTTACCGTCAAGAAGGTGAACTCGCGTTCTTCGCACACTCTAGACAAGGGCAAAGAGATAAAAATGGATCTAAATCCGAATAAAATCAGCACACGTTTCCGTAAATGAAAGGGTGAGCATAAGCAAATGAATCGAAGGAAACAAAGAGATCCTGTCAGCTTTTCCATTATTAATTTTATTGCATTCCGCCCAAAATCAGCACACTTTTCGTAAATGAAAGAGTCAACACAAGCAAATGAATCAAAGGGAACTGGTCAACTCACCTGTCATTGAGTAATATTCCGCGAAAGGAGGTCTCAGCAGCGCCGAAACGAAATAAGCCAGGCCAGGAGACGAAATATCCGAAACAGCTCATACAAGAAGCAGTTCCAAAGAAGGAAGTAAGTTCCTCGCGCATGCACATCCGCGGATCCGAACGTTCGAACGTTCGAACACGGACTGCACTGCAACACAATGTCTGCCGTGCACGTGCACCGCACGCGGCTACCAGCCGTTGGTAGATCTAATACCGAGCACCTTACGTAGAGACTTACGTAGCCTAAGTGAAATACCGAGCACCTTACGTAGAAACTTACGTAGCATAGCGGTGTCGTTTTTCTTGCCATGTGAACACAATAATAGAAAAGCTGACAGGATCGCTTTTCTAAATTTCGGTACCCTCTGCAATACTGCCTCGGTGCAATGTGTCCTTAGTTGCGTGTGGTAGCATGCACCTGATTTCTCTTGTATGCGCAGAATCAGTGCCACTTTATCAGATTTTTCCATTCACGTCCTGGAAGCTAGAGTCAAAGTAACTAGTTCACACCAGGGGCAGGGAGAACTGAAAGAAAAAAAACTGGTTTCTAGTACCGGTACTCGCTGGTGCTTAAAAGCAAGCTTGGTCAGCGTGCACTCCAGTCTTGTGAAACGCACCTTTCCCAGCACACTCTTGACACTCAGTCGAGGTATCCATAAACGCCTTCTTTCAGCCACCCACGTAAGGGTTCGATGAACTACCTCGCACTACACTGTACTCAATATGACAAAAGAGACCGGTTGCAGAGAACGGACCAGTGCGCGAGCAGACAGAGACCACAAAAGGACAGATAATATAAAAACGCAACTCAACATTATAAACAGTGGCCACTTCTTCATAGTCTGACCAAGGCAGTTGTCCTCTGTCCTGCCTTCGCACAATAGACACAGTACCAAAGCAAAGTTGCAGCTAAAGAGAAAATTTCGTCGGTCAATAATTCCGTCCAACTCCAAAGAAAAGGAGTTCGTCCGGTTGAAAATTTCGTCCATGGATCATAAGAGTGTATAGAAAAGCTGGACAAATCGATATTCGTCCTACATTTAATTTAGTCCAAAAGCTCCTTGGACGAAAAAGACGAAATTAAATTCCAGACGAATATTTCTGCTTATACAGTAGATAAACTAAGCCGTCATGTGTGAAATCTTTCTACAGTGTACCTACTGTACGAGTAGAAAGGAGAAAGGACTCAAGGACACGAGTGATGAGCAACTGCCAACCACTCTAACTGGATAACGTACGGTCAGAAAGTGCAACACCTAGGCAGAAAACTGACAGGGTACTGAGACGTTCACCATCCTGACACCTAGCTCCAACACACCCCCATAGTATGTCCCTTCTCCTTTCTACAATTTATGTTGGCTCAGTATCCCCGAGTTAAATTGTAGCTATTGTTTGTTCGTTTTTGGTACCGCCTCGGTCAGAGTAGAGAGAAACTGCCAAGGTAGGAAAATGTCTACACGGCACGTTCTAACCTGAATCTTCTCCAAAGGTTTGCGTCAATGTGTCCAACGGCGGCTTGGGTACTTGAGAGACCGACGTCTGCGCTGGATTGGAGCATGCAGCGGTCAACCTATACCCCCGGACGCTGGACGCTGTCGCGAATAGTACCGTGGCAATCACATGCACACATACAGGACATTTGTCTGAGAGTTGCCGTTGCAGGGACAGTGTATGTTATAGTACATTAGTACAGATAAAAAAAATTCCCAATGATAAAAAAAATGAAAACATGATATAAAACATATTAGCAGCAAAGCATGGCGTCAGAATGGCATGAAAAGCGAGCGTTCTCGAGACACAGGTACGAATAAAAAAGAAGAGAATAATATTCTGGGATTTAAAACAGAGAAGTTCCAGGCTGTCCAAATCTGGGATTTATTCATCATGTAAGTTGGTACCTGCGCTGCTAGTACACGTACAGTGCACTGACAGCACTCGGACACGGCGTGTGGACATGGCGTGTGGACATGGCGTGTGGACAGGGCATGGAAGTGGATTTTCAAGCATCCTGCCGAAAACTGGACCGTCCTCAGCATCCATGCATCATACAGCCAGCACAGCAAGCAGTCGCAAGGCAAGATGTGTGTGCGGGCACATTAGATAAACCGTGATAAAGCTCCAACACGGCATGCTTGTCAACAGTATGTAAGGGTTCCGGGAACCATTATGATGCCAAAGCAGCTTTGCCCATTCCCAAACTGCTTGTTCACGTGCCGACGACTCACTACTGCGGTGAAATAGCTGACAAAAGTCCAGCAACGAGTCATGATAGATTGGGTGCATAAACATCCAAGCTGTTATGCCACGCACACTTGCCAACGGCTAGGACAGCACATTCCTATTGCACAGTACTCAGTAGCTAGAAATCATAGGTCAGGGTGCCATAGCTGATGTCATCAGATCTCATGATGCCTCATAACGACATCATCATTGAGATGCTCCATCATGATGACATCATTCATTTGCAACTCACAAGCCAATCGAAGCACACCTTCTGTGGCAGTGCTTGACCAGAGGCTCACCATCAAGTTGAGGAGCAGTAAAGTAACAGCGGCGCACTATCACATACTCAAGCGTCGGCTGTGTTCATCACGTTGGTTAAGTCGGCCGCGCGCTGCAAGCGCAGTGCATTCTCCTCACTGCCCATGTACTGACGCGCCGGTGAGTAGCCGGCATCGGTGTCGGACCGCAGTGGCGTGTATGCTCCGTGCGCACCGACACGAGGTAGCCGATGACGGTGCGGTGCGGGTGGGGAGCTCCCTGCGGAGGCACGACCGCCGTTGACATAAGGATCGGCATCCCGTATCTGAATGTCAACCGAGCGCCGTTGTATGGCGGCCGCACGACCACTGTTGGCACGGCGCTTTCTGAGCGGCAAGTACACCAGCAGGCCAAGGACTAGCATTACGACCAGCAGGCAGGCAGTCGTGCCCCACGTCAATACTGCAGTGCAGACAGAACAAACACACACACACACACACACACACACACACTGTACTTGTTGCTCACTGCCAATGACACACACACACACACACACACACCTCACCTCAGACACACACACACACACACACACACACACACACACACACACACACACACACACACATGCACGTGGCGTGCACTTGAATATTTTGGACCACACGCCAACCACAAAATCTCTGGACTCCAAGTAAGTTGATATAACCGGGAGATTGGTGTGGTTGACGCATTGTACCATGAGGATCTGGATCTACTAAACTGTACTACATATTCCTAGTTTTGGCTACCCGGAGAGAAAGAGTAATTGAACATATTAATTTTATACTATAGTAGATACACAATTTCTCGGTTTCAAATAAATAAGCGCCAAATAATAATTAACTCTGATGGTGGTGTTAGTGGACATTATAGCGTCACTTGTAGTTCCTTGGTTCTTTTTCTTTTCCATACATAATAATTAGTGTGTCATTTGCCACGAAACAACACCATGTTCGTTATTCGTTTCAGACCCTGTGAAACTGGGCAATCGTAGACACAACTAATGACTTACGTGCATTCGGGTGAGGAATATTATTCAAAGGGTTAGTGGACATTTTAGAATTTCCCGCCATACTCCAAGTAGACTGTTCAGCTTCCCACAGCACGGTCGTAGATCTCAATTTTTGTAACAGAACTAGTTACTTTGCTGTTACTTTTCACAACACAGTCTCAAAAACACGGACTTATCGAGTTCAACTACAGGACCTTCAAGGCTACAACAGAAGACAGGCTACACGCTCACGTTGCTCACAAAGCACAGAAATGAGCATCGAGGTTTGAGTCTCAAAGTTTGCTACTTCACCCGCAGCACTTTCTCTTCTCAGTTTAGCATGGGCGGACGAAGAAAGCTGTCAAAGAGATTTTTTGAGAAACAGTCACTCTCTCGGAGGAGCGCCACCACGGCCACATCAACGGCGGCGCGGCGGGCGCCGGCGCCTGGCAGGATTTCGAACAAAACCCTGTATAATTACTGGTAATTCCAAGTAAATTCCCGTGCGAAAAAGGTTTCATGCAAATTCGAAGTTCAATTCGTACGAAATTCTCACTTGCACCTACTGGAACATCCCGTATTGCAGCTATGCTACAACTTACTTACAACTTACAAGTACAACTGCCTGGCTACAAATTACCATAATGTCCAATTGCCGTGTCTGATGGGCGGGCAACCGGGGTTTACGCCTTGGACGTCGTTCTCATCCCGACAATTGATTTGGTGCATCAACGGGCGTCGGTAGGTATTTTACGGTAGCATGGACAGCCATCTGAAGTACAATTAATACTGGGAAGGGGTGGCCAGCTGAAGATTTCAGTCAAAATCGTACTGACCGTAGCGTGTCTGCCGTCCCTGTGCAGTATAGCAGCAGCAACTGCAGTGTATACCATGCACAGTGCACAATCTACACATCAAAGGCCTCTGAGGTGCAGGCGCGTGCTCGGCGATGGGCACGGGGGGCACGTGCACCCCCCAAAAATTTTCAATCTGGGTAATTGCAATTGTAATGTATGCAAATATGCTCTAAAATTCAAGAAAGGTTGCAAACAAATTGCAGAAAATTGCCGGGGGGGAGGGGGCTCCCCTCGGCTCCCGTGCACCCCTTTAGTTGGGGGGCCGAGCACGCCCCTGAGGTGTGTGTGTGTGTGTGTGACCAAGCCACCGAGATGGCAGTGTGAGCCATACCAAGAGTACATAACCCCCACGGGCCCCAGGGGTTATGTACTCTTGGCCATACCAGTGGTAGTGCGAATTCATAACCCCAGGGCCAGAGTGGAACTCGAACACAATCGTTCAAATATCATATTCCGAGCTCTCTCTCTCTCTCTCTCTCTCTCTCTCTCTCTCTCTCTCTCTCTCTCTCTCTCTCTCTCTCTCTCTCTCTTTTGGAAGGGGAAGCTAAGCGAACAAAAATCAAGCAAAACCGAACGCATCAGGCGTGCAAGAATGGACTCGGATGGACTCTCTCTCTTTCAAAGTACTAACGTTACAACATTTTGATTGTTACCATGATTTCACTACATTCACAGCGTGCTTATGCCCGCTTTATTGAAGCAAATATTATCTGACACTACTAAATACAATTATTCAAAATTGCAAAACAATACTCAAAGAAGACATGGGGATAAACTGTACAAGTCAGCCATCACTGGGTCATGTCATGGAAATTAAAAAGCAAAAAATAATAAAATGATGCAAACCTAACTTGAGAAATGCTGCCGAATTCAAAGATCCGAGCAGTAGCATTTTTAGCATAATAATCTTGACCACCAGTTGCAGCAAACCTAAAGCAAAAACTGAGTGCAACATGGACACATGGTGACATGGTGTGAGCACTATTGATTCTCTCCGGCATCCAAAGGGTATGAGGGATACCGCTGCCCAAGTTAGGCAGTCAACAGAGAGGGGAAACGGCGCCGACCGGCCGAGTCATAAATACTATGTACAGTGTACAGCGTGGGAAGGCAGAACTTTTCAATAAGGATGTGACCTGAGACCGCACTGGCGTTATGATGCACTATCTGAGCAACAGCTGCGACGAGATCTTTGCCACCATTACTATCATCAACTTTTTTTATCCTGAGGAACTCTTTTGCTGCTCGAACATGACATCTTCATACGAGACCTTCTCGTAGTAGTGAGATCTGTACATGCGCAGAGCATCGACGATCATGAACTTCGCGGAGCTTGGCACTATTTCGAGCTCCTCGAATCCGGGCACGCCAGGCGTAGGCTCTTCGCTGCAATAGAGGCGCGTGATCTCGTCTCGTGAGAAAAACGGAGCGCGGGCCGAGAACTCGTGTGCCAGTACGGACAAGCGGAGCAGCTGCTCTGGGACGGGCATTGGCATGTAGAGCTTGAAGAGCGATGCAAACACTAGGTCATACATCTCCGCCACCGTCAGCTTGTCCGGTCCAATGAGCTCGTACGTACGGCCGGCCGCGTCCGACTGCATCGCTGCGGCGATCAAGCCCTTGGCAACATCCGGCACAGCAACAGGATATTTGACGGTGGTGTGGTACTTTCCACCGACGACCGGCTTGAAGCCTAACAAGGCAAACCAGTTGGAGCGGATGAACTTGAGCGTGCGATCAAAGTATCCAATGTGGCCGCACGACCGTACAATGGTCGCGTCGGGGAATGCACCTCGCACAGCTGCTTCCCCTGCCGCCCTGGTACGCATGTACTCCGATGGGTGATCCTCGCTGGCTCCCACGGAGCTCATCTGCACGTATCTCTCAACGCCAGCCTCGCGGCAGATGCGCGCAATACGCTCAGCCCCGTCCACGTTTATCTCCGCCATGGTGCACCTTCCAAGCTGACGGTTGTACTGCCGATTGATGCAGTTGATGACAACATCAGAGTACTTGACACTGTCGAAGATTGACTTCTCATCATTGAGCGACAGCGGAAGGATTCGCACTGCTCCCAAATCTCCACAAACCTTCAGGTCCTTGGCGTAATAGTCGTCACTCCTGCAAGGAGTCACGATCTGTGTACCCTCGCGACCCAAACGGTTGACTAGATGTCTACCAATGTGACCAGTCCCTCCAAACACCGTGACAACCAAACCATTGAAAGAGGAGCGATACCCACTGCCAACCGGCAAATGCGCCAGGCGACTGGCAGAAGCCATGATCTTTCAGCAGAGAGCTTCACGATGAACGACTCCCTCCAACGCCAAAATCACAACGAGATTTGACAAGAAGCAAAATCTTCTCGCGAAGTCTCTGCACTAGCTGCAACCGGCGTAAAAAATATGTGAAGCCGGCATTTACGCAGAAAACAGTTCACCATGTCAACGTGCGCTACGTCACTGGCTAGCTAGAAAGATGGGTGCGGCGCGGCGTGGCATGCATTGTGCGGCTAGCTCAGATCACTCGGGCGAGTCGTATCGGGGGTTGGGGAGTCAGAGTCGATAAGTCCCTGGCCCTCCGGACAGTCCGCGATCCGGAGGTCCTTCCCAGGCCGAGACGGAAACCTGATATTGAAATTACAGCTTTCTACACTCCATGTCATTGTGTGTCTCTGATCTCTTCTGATGTCATGATAAATAATTTAATTTATTGCTATTTTATCGCTCGTAAAGTACATGTACAAGCCTGATACTCAATCTGCGAACAGAACTGTTTCGTCCTTTGTGAACTCGTCAGCGCAGCACAGAGGAAATGAGGCCGAACCTGGTAGCAATGAAAAATAAATTCTGTACAATGTACAAGCCTGGTATATAATGCCCCAATAGCCCCATACGGTTCAAATGGTCGCAAGACCGAGACTCTACCAACGGTTGAACCTGTCTATGGTTGTAGTCAGGAGCACTGTTTCCCATACTAGTATTCCGTCCTCACCTTGTTCACGCTGTCACCATGAAAACATGTACAAGACTGTAAGTTTCAGTTAGCTGACAGACAGTACATGGACGAAGTGTTAGTCTAGTAAAAGTGAAGGGAGGCAAGCTGCAAACCCCCACCCGCACCACCACCAAATACAACAACACGCTGAACCGCGAGTAGCTGTGAGCAGCAGAGGCGGAGTAGGTAGGGCCCAGCACGACAGGATGGTGAGCAGCCACCGTGACCAGGGAGCACTCCCTGGTGTACACTGGGTCTTCAATGCAAACTTGTATCATATCATCGGCCAGTTTGCATCGAGTGCAGACCACAATTTTATTCTCATAGAGTGTGGCTAGTGACGCTGCTACACCCCTCCTACCCTATCACCATGATCACCCCATCACCATGATCACAGCTGCCAGCAAAGCGAAGACTGCTGCCAGCAACAAATACAACGTATGAACATAGGCAGTAGCTGGGTATCTGCAATAGGCTGCAGTGGCTGTTGCATCAGATTGTCAAGTAAATTATTGTTAAACATGGACACAAGTGTGGCAACGTGTAGGCATCAACTGGGTTTCACACACCCCACACACACACACACCACCACCACCACCACCACACACCATACACCATACACACGCACACACACACCACCACCGCCACCACTACCACCACCACACACACACACACACCATCACCACCACCACACACACACCATACACACGCACAGCAGATAACGCTTTACATACAGTTACTATGCGATGGGTACAATCAACGCTGAAATGATCGCGTAAAAAAACTGACAACGAACTTGCCAACACACAACAAAAGAAAGGTTCACCTAGAGCTGTCTCAAAATAACATGACTTAACTGACTGTACATTGCATTTCGATCAGTATATTTTGTGCGGTGTGCTTCTAATTCTCAAGATATGTACAGTAGAGAATGAGGATATGTGTTTGGTATTCGATGGGCTTTGAAATATGTGCAATGGGTTCACAGCCAATACTAGTACATGTATATACAAAGGATGACTTGTATTTACAAAAAGGCCATTCAATTTTTTTAATAAAATATCTTTCATGGGTTATGCTGTACAGGGAGTAAGTTCAAACCTCTTCTATTCATTCTCTCTCTTGTCCTGGATAGCCTGCTTGAATCGTTCCTCCAGCAAGGAGATCTCGCTGGTCAAATCTGTGATGGCGTTGCTAAAAGCCTCCTGTGGCGTGTAGTCTGGTGTAGTCTGCACACGAATAATTAGCTTGTTCTCCAGGGGATGCGGCACACGATAGCCAGCAAATATCACCTTGGGGTCGCGCAGCAGCTGAGCTCTCAGCGCATTGCCCAGTGTGTGATCCTCCTTCATGATTAGAAAAGAAGCAGCATTCGGTACTTTGGTGTCCTTCTCAATGCTCAGCTTCTTCTCTCCCTCGAGCAGCAGGAACGATTCGAAAGTCGGTGGAGCATTCATGATCAAATGGAAGTGAAGAAGATAAACTACAAGTGACAAAGCGAACAAAAGGATCAGGTCGAAAGGTTTGAAACGTCTGTCTGAAATTCGAAAGCGAACAGGACAGAAATATTTCAAAACAAAAACTGAAAAAGTCAAGTGACTCATTTCTTGAATGAGATTATTTTGTGAACATAAAACATCATGAAACATGTCATTGCATAGTAATGACGTCAGGTTGCAACGTGGAGAAATAATTCAAAATCAAAATCGGCAGCAAGAAGAAAATGAACAGTCAAAGAATTTTCATTGTGTGCACTTTCCTAGATCCTACACTTGTACTTGTCGTTGTAGTGGCTGTGAGCCGTACTACTGTTACTTGCCGTTCTGTTGCTGTTACTTTTGACGACGCTCGGATTCATTAGAAGGTTTCAGACTGTGAACATCTTGTAGTTCATAGTTCCTCGATATGAGATGCATTGTGTAGAGTGATCGAAAACTGAGTGTGTGGGTATGACAACAGCCGAGACCAAGTCGCTTTATTTGTGCCGAGCTACTCGAGCCAACGTCGTGCTAGTCCTGTTAGTGCAACTTGTCATCATCTGCAGGTACGGCAATCGCCCTACTTCTGTTGTACAAACTTTTGTGCTTGTGAGATATTTTGAAGGAGTCTCCAAAAGTGAATGGATGCCTGTCCAGAATTACATACTATGTAATATTAATTAATTAATTTACCTATCCGGTGTATGTACATGTACCAGCACCATGTATAACCGTGGTGCTGATAGCAGCAGTGGCGAATGCCATCCCTGTCGTGCTGGTGGTGCTGTGAGGCCCGCAATACCTGCCCCAGTTGGCGACTAACACATCCAGCCTTCACTTGACTGTGCCAGTCTGTGGGGTGTGGTGTTCTACTATTTTACAATCTTTTCTTTGCTTTGTGCCTCAGCTTGCCTTTCATCCTACCATCTCGGAAAGCAAAAGATGTGTTCAGGTACCCAACCCGTCCGCTGATTCAAAATGCCCGTGAATCTCACCATTGTAGCTACAGTCCATGCAAGCAGTGTTCTGATCTAGAAATGGTATGTACCGGTAGTCCAGCGCTATTTGGCAGGTCCTGCGGTGATGTGCTGCTGCTGCTGCTGCTCTCTCTCTCTCTCTCTCTCTCTCTCTCTCTCTCTCTCTCTCTCTCTCTCTCTCTCTCTCTCTCTCTCTCTCTCTCTCTCTCTTTCTCTCTCTCTCTCTTTCTCTCTCTCGCTCAGCAACAAATTTATCCCGAATTGAAGACTGCATGGCAACTTGAAACCAACTCATCGCACCATGAAAACTCCATGTTGAATTCATACTTCCGCAGTGTAGTTTTCCAGTGTGTGAGCCCTTCGATGTGTATCTCCTGTTTTTGCTGGCCGGCACAGAAAATCCATGAGGATCACTGCGATGGTACGGGCTACTTCCAGCGTGTTTCATGCGAGGAGAATGCGAGTTTAGCAACCTCACCGATGGCTCCAGGTGCTTCCCCAACTCTCAACCACACCTATGTCAGGTAAGTGTGCAGTGCATTCCAATATTGCTACAGGAATTCACATGATGTTGTTGTTGAAGACTATGATGATGATGCTGTAGACATGTCCTGGTCATAGAATGCATTCTGTTTCTTACTTCTTTTGTTGGACACACGTGACATTACCAACTGTCATTTCAGTCAGAGTCGAAATCAGCACAATCAATAAACCCTAGAGACATGCAGCACTACAATTGCCAGCGTGTGAACTTTTTTGAAGTACACAGCCCAGGGACAGAACGGTGATTGTAAATCTGAACACTACTCTTTTTATGTCTTCTATTCAGAGTAACTGCACAAAGAATAATGGTGATGTATTCGTATGCCTGTAGTCGTCGAAATACCAGCCACCTCCCTGAAAGAAGTGTCTGGTTGAGTGTGTAAGGGAGGTTTAAAGTACACGTCACATAATGTGCAAGCTCTGCTGTGTTCTTGGTTCACAGCTGTTTACCGCCATGGCAAGGTCCTCCAGCAGGATATCTAGCATTCCTGGTACGTATCGCATTCCTAAGTGCAATGCTGCTGTTGCTGCTGCTCTCTCTCTCTCTCTCTTTGCAGTCCTCATTTATCTAACAATTGCCTTGTTAGTGTGCCCTTGATAAGGTTTCTAGCCAAGGGGAGGGGGGGGGGAGGGGGGCTATTCTGATAGCGCGCTAACTTACTAGTACTCGCTTTTCGATTTTTGTGTTTTTCACATCACACAACGAAAATGCGGCCACAATTCGATCGTTCCGGGTGCTCGCTGCACCCACATGTTGCATTTTGTGTGACAAAGCAATAGTGGAACATGGAAAAATGAGTGAACTGTTTGGATGGAATTGTGCAGAGAGCTGCTTGTTTGGGTTGGGGACTAGTTATTCAGTCAGTTTGCAACTTTGATATATTTAGTTCTGTGCGATAATCTCTGTAATTTTTGTCGTTTGATTCATTGGGTTGCGTTGCTCATTATCTGATGTGGGTGTTGTGTTGTCTGCAGTTTTCCTGGCTAGCCAGTGGTGTCATCTCTCTGCTGGTGGTCAGAATTCGACTTCGGCAACTTGCCCGCGCAGCGCAACTTCGCCTTGGCGAGCGGTTAAAGGATGTTGTGTCCTGTCGGTGACCCGTGCAAGCTGTGACTAGTGCATTGCCATTGAGATGAGTAAGACGTGTGTGTGTGTATGTGTGTGTGTGTGTGTGTGTGTGTGCGTGAACTTCAGCCATATTTCCTTTGCCACAAATTCGGTGTACTGAGTGTTCTCCGACATAACCTTATTTTTTAACCACTGCGAGAAGCTTGAGTACAACTTAAGAGATCCATGTGTTACAGCAGCAATACCCTGCGCTTGATTACATAGAAATTTTTGGTTTTGTGTCTCGTATGGTGCGCTGCTTTGTGTAACGGGTGGAAAGCAGTAACTGGAATATGCTGGCGTATTCCACCAACCTTGTACATTATACTTCCTTTTTTTTAAAGTTGCTTTCAAGTACACCATGACCGATTGCTTTGTTCGAATATATCTTCATGCACACGAGTTTGGTGAAGAAGAGGTTGGTGCGACTTCGTTTTCTTGTCATCATAATAAACAGAACGTTGCACAGCTCCTTTCATTGTAATGAGTTTGTCAAAATGCCAAGCTGAACGAAAGATGACACAAGTTCAGGAGATTTCTCGGTGGTGTCGGTTTACGACAGGAGATATTCACCTGTATGTAGCCCGGGGCGTTCTTGCTTGTCAGCAATTTGGCTACGTTCTTAGAACAATTGCCATTGGTACTGAATCCTATGTATTGCAAAAGCCTGTCCCTGTGGGATTGCGGGAAAAAACTCTCGAAAACTTGCGCAAGAAATTGCGGCAGAAAACAACAAAAAATGCGGAATGATGCAGAACTTGCCAAGAATTCGCGGAATTATTCACAGAAAATTGCGGATTTGGGCCAAATCACGAAATTTGTTGCATCGTTTATCTACTCGGGAGTAGTCCGAGTCGTACTATGCAAATAACCTACAGGATCATGGAAAGCACTGCGTGAAAAGTGCATAAAAAAGTGAGATATAGTGCAGAAAACAACAAAAAACGCGGGAAATCGCGGGTTTGGGCGAAAATCGCGAAATTTGTTGCATCCGTGGAATCGCGGTTTCCTGGAGGGACAGAAAAGCTACCAGAATACCAACACCACTCTAGGCTACGGCGTTCTTGGCATGTCAGGCTAGATGTTCTTGGGCTCAGCGTTGTTCGGCTGATGGCTCTACTGTAGCTTCCCCTTGATCCTCAAATCTTGAGAGTTGTTGTGTGGTACAGTGGAGTCGTGCGTCCAAGAACGTTCTTTCCAAGGGGTTAGCCTAGGACATTCTTTTAAAATTAAAAACAAGTCATATTGAATCATTCATATGTATCCCACAAGCTCCCAGAAAACCAAAACCGCCGTTCTCAACTTTAGCCTGTGGTGTTCTTAGTAATTCAGGCTGGACGTTCTTGGGCTCCATGTCTGTCCCTCCAGGAACTTGCGATTCCGCGGCCGCGTTGTTTTCCGCGATTTGAACAAAAGTCCGTGATATCCTTGTTAGGGGCCGTCCGTAAATATCGATGTTTTTTCAAGACGATATTTGTTCATTTCTCCCTAGACCCCCTCCCTCCCCCCTCAAAACGAACATACACGTGTTTATGCAAGAGATCGATATTTTTTAATGAAGTTCAATTTCCTCATGAAACGTGACCACTTGCCACTCTAATTTCACCATACACCTAGGTTTATGTTGCCACGGTCGCACAGCCTTGCCATGGCTATGCTCACGAGGTTGACTTTCACTTTGTGTAGGTCATAAACTACATGGTCGAACAGCGCCCGTCCATAGATAGAGTCGATATTTTTTTCTGCAAAGACGAGACGAACCGGGCCCAAACCCCTCCCCCCCCCCCCCCCAAACGAACGAATATCTTCTCTAAAAAAACATCGATATTTGTGGACGACCCCTTATTTGAAAATCATCCTCGTTATTGTAGAAAACTGTCCTTGATACTTAAAAAAGCACCGCGATATTTCGAAAAGCAAACGCAATATTCGAGTCTTTCTTCAATGTTGTTATAGTTCTTGAAGCTCGTCAGTAGTTTAATTGTGAGATCGACACCAGAATGGAGAAGTTTCTGGGTAAATCAGCGGCTGACAAGTCACAAAATAAGGCTCGCGTCGTCCGAGGATGGAGGAAAGCTGTCTTGCAAGCTCCTGTCAGGCAGTTGAACACAGTCAGCGCACCACACGTTCTGTTTTGTCATGCATGATTTATGCTGCACGACTCGTACATCCTGTCCCTCCAGAAACTTGCGGAGACATTTCGGAAATATCACGGAAGAAGTTGCGAGGTAAAATGCCACAAATTGCGGGGAATATTGCGTATTTTGTCAAATATTGCGGGATTATCGTGGTAAAATTGCGGCCGATTTGGTACTTGTACTGTAGTGGTACACGATGTACGATCACGAGTCGTACAGCATAAATCATGCATGACAAAACAGAACGTGTGCTGGTTGACCCCGGGGAAAATTGTGATTCCGCGGCCACGTTTTTTGCGATTTTTTAAAAGACAACGTTTTCCCGCGTTTTTGAACTTTTTGTTGCACTCAGTGACTACACGTACACACAGTGCACTGTTCGGTCAGCAACGTCTCAACTCTCATCATGGCGTAGTCCATCAGCCAGTGGTGCCAAAGTGAGTCCCCTGTTGCACTTACAAAACGAACACCTGGAAGTGACATCAATCGACAGCAAAAGCATCACTGAATCCGACCTGCCTACTTTCCCTGGCGAAACACTTGCACTCCGTTCGCAATACGCATCGGAAGTTCGAAAACTTTCTTCTTCTTCGTCAGCCATTACGAGGTTTTCCATCCGTTTTATTAGGACATCCAATGCGTCTTCACTGAAAAACGTGGATTATTGTCAACATTTGGTGTGGTTTTTCGTGGCGATTGAGCTAAATTCGCGAATAAATCGCCGTCAATTTGAGCGGAGGTGAGTTTGCTTGGAGCACGTACAGATTCAAATTATATGCGTACTTGCGCACCGGGAAGAAGATGAAGATGCTCGCCATTTTCAAATAACTACAGTCAATTGTACTACTTCGAAGTACAATTGTTGTAGTAACTTGTTTTCCTTCGGTTGCAACTGCAATGTACGAGTGTGGAGTACTGAATCTCGATGTTGCAACAAGATAGTAGTACAACTGTGACTGTACTACTATCTGGTTGCAACAAGCTCGAAGCAACCTTGCCTTTGCAACTGTTTGCTGTCAGCATCCAGAGCTATGGCGTTTGCTAGTTGGTCGTAATGGAGAAGAGAACTACAAGGCAGTCACTCAAACCTACAAACTTGGACGTTTGCTTGTTCTGCCAGAGGAAGTATAAAAGAAAGAAAAATAAGTGCGAGAATCTGAAGCAGTGCCAAACCCTGGAGGCGGGAACCAAGATATACGAAGCTGCACTGATCAAAGGAGACCAGCGTGTGTTACTTGAAGTTCAGGACGGCTCCAGGGACTGTATAGCTGCAGAGCTTCTGTATCACTTCACCTGCTATAGAGACTTCGTAACTCTACCCAGTACTAAGGAGACACGGAAGACCATCTACCAGCAAGCCTTTGACAGCATAGTCCTGAAAGTGGAAGATGGACTTGCTGATAAAACCCAACTGTGTGCCATGGACATGGGTGACCTGACCAAAATCGTACAATGAAAAGCTACATGAGCTGAGTGGCCAACCGCACCACTACCGTACGTCGTTATTAAAGGACCGGTTGCGAAACCACTTCAACGATGGTGTAATGTTCGTGCGGTCTTCCGTTACGGAGTGCGAGTCCCTGGTTGCACGAGACCTTGATGAAAGTGTGATATGCACGGTGCTGGGGAAAAGTGTGTCTGCGTCCAAGCGCAGAGCTGCAGACGAGAGCAGCGATGGGTCCGGTGAGGATATATTTATACCTTCTGATAGCCACACCCAGGAGCCCGCCGCGGGAGACTTGTTTCACGTGGCTATGAAACTCCGCCGTGACATAGAGCATGCCTGCAAGCATCTCCCCAGTGTGCCAGAAATATCACAGTGCACGCCCACCAAGTCCATGACCTGGATCCCTGATTCAGTGTTTAACTTCCTGATGTGGACAATTGTTGGCCCTCAAGCTTGCAACGCTGGTGAGAGTAGCTTAGGTGACCGAATGGATGCCGCTGATGACAGAGCACGGTCAAAGGTCATGGCTATTGCACAGGACATCGTATTTGCTGTGTCGCACGGTCGCGTTGTCCCACCCAAGCAGCTGGCACTGTCGATGGCAACCAGGCACTTAACACGCAGTGCACGGTTAGTGTCAATGCTAAATCGATTTGGCCATGGTGTTTCGGACAGCAAATTGCATGAGATCGAGACTGGCATCGCTGAACGCACACTAGCTGAGGATATTCCGCTCCCGAGCAACATCAAGGCAGGGAACGGCACCGTATTCTTCTGCTGGGATAACAACGACCTGGTGGAGGAGACCCTGACTGGTATGGGCACCACCCACTGCACCAACGGCATCGTCATACAGCACCCCACTGCAAGTAATGTCCCTGACACAGCACAGCCACAGCTTGTACCTGCTGTGGGCAGCAGTAAGAAGAAGAGGCCAGCCCGTTCTCTTTCTGTGGTACAGCAAGAGTTCCCACAGTATATCATCGGAACGAGACCTGAACCACACACCGTCACTACCACTGCTAACACACCAACTAGAAGCCGGGAGTGGTTGAGCGGTGAGGATTTTCTTTGGTTCCTGCTTCGCAGTGCAGAGAGCACCAGTAGATTTGGCCGGCCCAGTGATGAGCCACAGACGATCCCGGTGTGGTCTAAGTTTAATGCAGACCTCTACTGCCAGAACAAACCGGGACAGCCATCCAATATTGGGTATCTGCCAGTAATCCCAGCTCCTCCAACAGAGCATTCCACGATACTGGAGGTACTCCGTCGCTCTGTGGCACTAACTCGGAGATTGGACCAGCAGCATTGCATCATAACCGGTGATCAAGCAATCTATGCCAAGGCACTGGAAGTGCTTTCAAAGCACAAGGACGAGTTCAGTGAAGTAGTGTTGCGGTTAGGTGCGTTCCACACAGCGTGTGCTTTCATGGTCGTCCTGGGCAAACGATTTGGTGGTGCGGGTCTTGGCGACCTGCTGACAGAAGCCGGTGTGGTTGGCCCAAATGCCTGCAAGCAGGTCCTCGCAGGCAAGCATTACAACCGGGCAATCAGATGCCACAAACTGGTATTTGAGGCAATGTTGCAGCAAAACTGGGAATTGTTTGAGGAGCACTTAGAAGACGACTATTCTCCCCATGTTGATGAAGCTGCAAGTGACCTCCTTGGCCAGCTGGACGCCATGCGAGAGACTGGCAATTTCGCAGAAGGCCTACAGTGTGTACAGACATCCGCCTTCAAGTCACTCAAGGAACGTTTCACCACATTTAATGACAACTTGAAGAAGACCTCACCAATGGCCTGCTTCTGGCTCTCGTACATGGAGATGGTCAGTCTGCTGCTCGACTTCATCCGTGCGAGCCGCAATGGTGACTGGGTGCTGCACCTCACAGCTTTCAGGCAGATGCTGAAATGGTTTTTCGCGTACGACCACGTTAACTACGCTCGCTATGGGAGCTACTATGTGAACGACATGGAGTGTTTGCCTGAAAGCCATGAATCGGCTCAAGAGTCCCTTGTCAGCGGTGACTTCTGTGTTTCGCGGTCACGCAACAGCTTCGCCCGAGTGCCGGTGGACCAGGCCATCGAACAGCCCATCAACAGAGACAGCAAAGGGAGAGGCGGAATCGTTGGATTCAGCAAGAAACCTGGTGCTGTTCACAGATGGATCCTGACCACCCATGAACGAGCAAGCCTCACGAGCGCCTGCAGCAAGTTGGCTGGCCCAATGCTGCACACCACGCAGGTCACCAAGGAGAGAACGGCACAGGTGAAGAGAGATGAGCAGGATCTTGTGTCTCTAAGCGAACTGCTCTACTCCTGGGGAAACCCATTCATCGGAGACAAGCTTGTATCGCTCTCGTCTCGGACTGTTTGTTCCGAAAAAGCACATGATGATCTGCTAAATGCTGGCTCGATCGGTGAAGCAGATGTATCCAAGTTTATCCAAGAACGCTTGGTACAGAAGACGGCTTCATTCTATGACAAGATTCCTGCCCACAGTCTGTCAACGTTCAGCACTTCAGGGCAGAAGAAGAAGAAGAAATCATCAAAGTTGCAAGCTTTGAAGAATGAACGACAGCTGTTCACGACGCTCGTTATTTTGGCCAAGCACAGATCCATTGACATCAAGCACCTTGTCGAATTTGAGCTAGGTCCACTGCCTTGGTCAATAGCTACAGCCGACGGATGTCCTGTGAGTACTCCAAAGTCAAAGCTGCTCTCTGACCTTGAGAAAGATGTTGCACCTCTGGAGACTGTTCCTCAAGGCACTGCAGTTCTGATTGACGCAATGGCAGTCCTGCAATCCTACACTTCAGTCCCCGGTACGTTTGGTGACCTCAGCAAATTGGTGTTCAGGCAGTTGATATCCAACTTCACTCGCTTTGGCTCCAAGCGTGTCGACTTTGTCTCTGACTGCTACCATCAACTGTCCATCAAGTCTTCAGAGAGAGTGAAAAGGGCATCGACCAACCAACCACTGCGCATGCTTGTGCAGCGCCCCGATCAAGAGACGCCGAAGCAATGGAAGCGTTATCTCAGTGATCCTCAAAACAAGATGGAACTCATCAAGTTCTTTGCTGACCACTGGGCCTCGACAACAGAGTTCGCAACACTACTTGGAACAAACCGGCATGTCTATGTTACTGTTGGCCAACGGTGCTGGCTACTGAAAGTTGCTGACGCGTCAAACACAGTCGTCAACCGTGAGGATGTACCTCAGCTGGCTGCCCCCCATGAAGAAGCCGACTGTAGGTTGCTACTCCATGCAGCTCACTGCTTTCAGCATCAAGAGGAAGCAGTCGCCATCTCCTCCCCTGATACAGATGTGGCTGTTCTAGCCATTGGGCTGTGTGCATCTCTTCAACAGCAGGTAAGAAAAGCAACTGACCTTGCACTGCAGTTTGTTGGTCAATACCCTAATACTAAAGCAAAGTAGTAGTTTCTGCTCACTCGTGATTAAGTTTTGAATTGATGGAGGATCATGCAATTCTGATTCCTAGTATATGTCTACCTTGGACTTGCCTATTTCTCCATGATAATAATTATGTGCTGGAAATCACCAAAATCGCTATGACTTTATATCACATTTTATATTGCCGCTGCTCCCTGCCTGCAGGTGATTTTCAAGACTGGAACAAGACAACGAGCACGTCTTGTGGATATCAATGCTATCGCTCAGAAACTGGGCCCAGCCGTATCGGATGCTCTTATTGGTCTTCATGCGTATACTGGCTGTGATAGTGTTAGTGCCTTTTCGGGGAAAGGAAAGTCCAGTGGCCTAGCAATCATCAAGACGGACGAAGTGCTTGCCTCTGTTATGTCAAGACTTGGTCAGTCGTTCACCGTGGATGCGTCACTCCTAGCAGCATGCGAGACATTCACCTGCCGTCTCTATGGCTTTCCAGATTCAACTGAAATCAATGCTGTTCGCTACAAGCTCCTGTGTGCTAATGCCACCACCCCAGAACGACTGCCACCATCTCAGAACGCACTGAAGCAGCATGTACATCGTGCAAACTACCAAGCAGCAGTCTGGCGAGGTGCTTTGCGCAACGACTTGGTCCAGCCAACTCCAGTTGGAAATGGATGGGTTCAATCATCCGATGGTAAGGCCTCTCAATGATGTGTCATTCTTTTCAATCATATATAGGCAACTGTCAGGCGGTTAGTGAAATTATGTTATTGGGAAACACAGATGATTTTATGAGAATAAGAACTTCAACATTGCTGCATTGCTTGTTCATTATCATTAATTGTTTGCGGAACTCTGTGAACCCCTTTCAATAACACATGTCCCTGTATTAAATTTTACATGCCCGTTGTAGGAATGTTGCAAATTCAATGGATGACTCAGGAGGCTACCCCCAAGGATATCCGTGACCTTATCACATGTGGCTGCAAGACAGGATGCATGAGCAATCGGAGATGCAAATGCCGCAAGAATGGTTTGCCATGTGCAGATGTATGCAAATGCACATTGACGGCATGCACGAATCGCCCTGTACCTGTACAGCAAACACAGGCAAGTAGTCTCTTGAAACCATGCTTGCTGGCTTACTATTGTTTTGTTTATGAATGCATTAATTATGTACACGCCTTTCATAATGTAAGATATTACTTCACAACATTCCTGTCTGGGTGTACGTGTATTTGTACAGGCAACGTCGATTTCCGCGACTGCACTTACAGCAGTGACTGTGGAAGAAGAAAGTGATGAGTCAGACAGTGATGGCAGAGATGGCAGCACAGATAGCAACGACACAGCTGATACCATATCAGCTGAAGATTTCTCATCAAACGAACTGGAACATTGAATCACCTACATGTTTTAACAATGGTGACGGGCACATGCGAAGCTTAATACGATGTGCTTCCGAGGGTGCTTTAATAACTCACAACATTCTATTGTGCCAGTGCAATCTCTCTCCTATAATGTTATTCTACTTAATCGTGTCCTGCCCAGACCGGCCGGAGAACTTTCATATAAATTACATAATCTTACTGCATGTGCAGGCCCATGCATGCTTGATGCCTTGTGCCTAATCGGGAGCTCTTTCATATGCTGTGCTTCATGAGAATTATTCTACTTGTTATTTTATTTGTGGGTTAGGCGTAATCTTGATCGTACTTCAACGTAAATGTACACAGATTGCCTGGAAAGTGAGCAAGCTGATCGTAAATGAGTTATACAATTGCAAACTGTCCAGAAATATGACATTGTATATGCATACTGATAACAAGACTTTCTTCAGGCTCAAACTCAGTTCTTATCTATTATTTTTGGATTTATTACATTTGATTCGTGGGTATTCTCTCATCTATTTACCGGTGTATGTAACAAGACTTACCTAGGACATCCATCGCTGCAGATTCCTTACTTTTAGCTCTCCACGTTTCTATTTTTGCCGGGGATCAGGACCTTCTTCCATTCCATTCAGGGTGGAAGCATAGATCACTTTTGCAAACAGTAAAAACTACGCTTCAAACCTGCTTGACGTGACTCGGGGTGCATACTTCGGAAACCCAACAGTAGACTAAGTTCAATACTAGCTCATCGTAATCCTCCTGAAGGTATGTATTCGTATGCTCAATTAAATAGAACAGCGAAAGAGATGTGTAATGGAACAACACTCCACAAGTAGACGAACAGCAATTATTGCATTTTGAATTATTTGAATCCAGGCACACGTGTACGGCAACTGCAATGGTTTACACCGAAAATCGTATCGATTTCCAAGATTTCTCCCGTAATTCACAGAAATTTCAAAGTTCATTCCTGAAACGCGCATGGCACTGATTGGAGATTGGGTTTAGGTCACAACAATTGCTGTCGATGAAATGCCAAAAAAGGTCACTTTGTCGACTTCCCCCTGCAGAGCGTGCAAGTCCTTTACTCTTTTTATTTACGGATTCGGTTTCTAGGGTACCTAAACTCCCCATTGAGGCCCAAATCAGGTGTTCGATTTCTAAGTGCAACAGGGTCCTTGAATTTGACGACTTCTGAGTTCTTGGCTGATGGACTAGCGGCTTTTTACTCAAATATGACGAGTGCTTAGGCCCCGGTCACACCGAAACAAGCCACTTTGGGCTTGTTATCGCTGGCGCTCAGCTGGCTTGCGTGATCCCTGTGACGCGGTCACACCAGACCTTGAGTGCAAAGCTTGAATGGCTTGTTTTTCTTACCCGCCAAATTTTGAATATCTCGAAACACACCAATGTTTGCAAGAAACTGGAGAGCAGAACGTTCGCGATCTAAAACTGTACTTGTTCTAGTGTTCAGTTTTGATGAAGAAGCAAAGGAAGCCCGGATTCTGAATTGCGAAGTCGTGCTCTTTTTATTTGTTCGGTGTGCATGGACGCGATGGTTCGGGTGGTGTTTCCTGATGTCGAGCTTTCTGCCCCGCCGGTTGCCGTTATTGAACTCAGTTGCAATCCACTCTCTTCTTCGTACCCGGCTTTCTTCATGAATTCGGTCGTGAGTGTGGTGCCTTGTCTTGGCCGCAAACCACAGCTCCAACAATCTACGCAGCAGTCTAGAGGCACAGCGGCAGAAATCCATGGTCGTCGGACAAAATCCAAATCAAACTGAATACAGTGTAGTTGGGGTAGACAGACTCACGGTCAAAACCAAAGGCACAGGGATAGCACGGTTCCACGGACACAAGAAAGAACATCAATATCAGTTCATCATGTCAACTAGCTACATGGTGTGCTCCGGAGCTCCAAGCGCACTCAAAATTATTTTTTGAATTTCGGCTTTCAGCCGCTTGTACAACTTTACTACAAGCTGTGGTAGTCCATCGGCCAAATCTCAGAAAGGGCCTCTTTCGGCGAAGGTGATGCACTGAAGCTCCAACTAAACGCCCTTTGGCACACTAGCTCATGAGACCCCATACAGGGGCGGATCCAGGAATTTTTCAGGGGGGGTTCAAATTTTTTCGAGTGCACAGAATTAAATTCGCTTCAAACTGTTTTCGGTTCGTTCACTACACACGGCTGTTCGCGCACGGACATCTAACAATATGGAGTCGTTCGGTGCGATTTACGTAACGCGGTGCAAACCTCGTGAATACGATGGGAGTTCGCGTTTTGGGATGAAACTCATGTCACTCTCCGTGTGGTTCCACGATTTCGCAAGTCAAACCAGGATTTAATATTTGAAAGCGCTCGAGCGAGATACTCAATATCCAGACAATTTGAGAGAGAAGGAAGGTAAAAGGAACTCCTGCCGTGGTCAACCAGCATCCTGACCTTTTCGAACCTCTCCAAGCTGTCCCTGGTAGTCTGGATATTGACGCACGCACTGATTTTCAGCTTCTCCTCGCCGGGATCACGGGTGCAACTTTCAAATTTGCCGATATGCACTCGCACACACGCACAATTGGATCTACATCACAATTTCGGGGCTATCTGCGTGCTTGCTGCCTTTTTCAGCAATACCCCACATGTCTACTGGGCAGTTTCCACCAGGCCTCGGCCTCCTGGACTCAACAGCGACTCCAGCGCCATGCCATCTGTCCCCTAAATCGCATGAAAAGGTAGCTCAGCATCGAACGCACGGGACCTGAAGTTTGTGCACGGGACGTGATAAAACTTGGTGAAGATAGCCAGAAGATAGTCCTCTACCTGGGAAAACTGAAAGCTAGACTGGGAAAACTCCTGAAAGGGCTTCTTGACGCAGGCATGTCAACGATGAATCAAGGAACGAGCGAGAAAGAAGGCTTGACTTGTGCAACGCGGAACAAACTGTTCCTGAGACGAAGTTGGCCATGTGAGGTACCAGCGGAAAGCTAGTTTCAAGAGGAACACGGAATACCTGTTTTCCGGGTAAACCTGGCCTGGTAGCTTTCTAAATCGAGCGAAAACCACAGCGAAATCGGCTGCTGAGAATTTGAAAATTCAAATTTCCTTGCCGATCCAGCCCAATCGAGACTTTTGGCTGCCATCTTGTTAAATGTCCAAATTTCGCGAAAAAAAACAGCCGTGTACACCGGGAGTTGCAAAATCTTTATTGTCACGGTAGCCCTTGCATTGCTTGGCCAATAAGACAAAGGGTAATGCGTTTAGAGCCTTACAAAGTACAAAGCTGCAGCACAGGCAGAAACTAAGGCCGTGACTGCAGCATTTTCCGAACTGACGGAAGGCGAAGTTCTCTGACTGTCGTCCGGCTGGGACTCCGTGTCGTCACATTCGCGCCGTACATGGCGGAACGAAGCCAAGCTCAATGGCAACTGATCGGCCGCTCGCCTCTTTGGCAGACGTCGCGACATGGCAAACTACACGACAAACACAAACATTATCTTCGTACTGCGACGGAGGAAACCTACAGTCCAGCCAGCGCGAAATAAAACAAAACGACAAGGAAGGTAAGAAGGACAAGTGGCAGTTTCTCCACCTTTTGCTCCACCGCAACATGGCAAACTACACGACAAACACAAACATTATCTTCGTACTGCTACGGAGGAAACCTACAGTCCAGCCAGCGCGAAATAAAACAAAACGACAAGGAAGGAGGCAAAGTGGCAGTTTTTCCTCCTTTTGCTCCACCACTTGAAATGTTACTGTCGATCGTTTCAAGTCATATGATACGCGTACAGAGTCTACAGACCCTTCGATTCGAACGGTACGCGTACAACAGTCCCGACCATGTACCACTGCATGCATGCAGTGACGTGTATACCTGCGCTGCCTGTACGTGACTACTGCATGCATGCAGGATTGCCAGTGAAGTCTACTGGCTATATAATATACTATATACGCGTATCGCTGCATGTACGCTACACTTCGCTGGCTGCGCACGTGGAGATCACAAAAAATCGACTGGACCCATGGTCGAAATTTAGAAAAGCGATCCTGTCAGCTTTTCTATTATCTGTTATTGTGTTCACATGGCAAGAAAAACGACACCGCTATGCTACGTAAGTTTCTACGTAAGGTGCTCGGTATTTCACTTAGGCTACGTAAGTCTCTACGTAAGGTGCTCGGTATTAGATCTACCAACGGGTGGTAGCCGCGTGCTCTGCACTTGCACGGCAGACATTGTGTTGCAGTACAGTGCAGTCCGTGTTTGGATGTGCATGCGCGAGGAACTTTCTCCTTTGGAACTGCTTCTTGTATGAGCTGTTTCGGATATTTCGTCTCCTGGCATGGCTTATTTCGTTTCGGCGCTGCTGAGACCTCCTTTCGCGGAATATTACTCAATGACAGGTGAGTTGACCAGTTCCCTTTGATTCATTTGCTTGTGTTGACTCTTTCATTTACGAAAAGTGTGCTGATTTTGGGCGGAATGCAATAAATAATGGAAAAGCTGACAGGATCTCTTTTCTAAATTTAGCTTTTCCGCTGCCGAGGCCTCCTTTTACGGAATACTCGATGACAGGTGATCTCTGAGTTGACCGGTTTCCTTCGATTCATTTGCTTATGCTCACCCTTTCATTTACGGAAACGTGTGCTGATTTTATTCGGATTTAGATCCATTTTTATCTCTTTGCCCTTGTCTACAGTGTGCGAAGAACGCGGG